TTTGGGACTGAAAAATTATGTTATATTAAATGTCATGGGAGTAAAACTTGTAAAAATAAATAAAAAATAATAATGCATTTTTTCTATTTTTAAAAATATCTGGGTACATACATAATTTTTCAAATTATAGTATTTGAGATTCATGCGCATATCTGATTTATAACATCAATTACCTGTGTATTTGGTCATTGACGTAATTATGCGGTCTATAACAATAATTACCTGTGTATTTGGTAAATAATGTTAATAACCGGTGAATAACGTAAATTTTCATTTAACATCATTTACCGTAACATATATATATATATAACTTAATATAGCTTAAAAAAAATGTGGGTTATTAGTTTAATTTTAATATTTAAAGAAAACCCTATCAAATATAATATAGTCAATGGTGTTAAAGTGTTTATAATGTATACAAAATATAGATATGAATACTAACCTATGTGGTATAGACACCATAGAGTGCTGGAAACAAACTAAATTGGTTTTATTTTGATGTATTATACTGGAATATGTTTACTTTAAAAATGCGTATTTGAAAAAATCTACACAATTATTAAAAAACTATACTTGGATATTGAAAAACAATATAATGTTATGAGTTAATAAATGTTCATGTGCCATGTCTAATATTATATATATAATAAAAATTTAAGTTCAAATATCAAACAGACATTTAACATACCTTATTGGAGGAGGTATTTTAATAAGTAACTATTAATTACATAATGAATCTTATCTTTAAAAACAGATATAAATATAGCACAAAAATAAAAAATATATTCTCAATTAATGGATACGATACATTTTGAACTTTGTTATCATATAGATTAAAATAGTTTTTAATATCAGAAATGTCAATAATTGGACACTACATAGTTTATAATTATTGGTTTTATAAAATTAAATTATAACATAGGTACTTAAACTCGATAGTACCTACATATTAACAGTATCAGTCATATACAAAACATACAGCAATAATTTAGATTTATATTTTTAACAATTTTTAAATAAATAATTATATTTTAATAGTGAAGTTATAAATATAACTTATTTGAAAACACACCATTGACTAAAGGTAGGTATTAAACTTTATATTATTTCTTTATAAGAATTTTGTTTTAGTTTCTGTAGATTTTATAGAGGTGTGTATTAAAAAATATATATATACAATTTATTTAATTATAAATAATTCCTAAACAAAAAGTATGAATTAAGTACTGATGAATTAAATTCTAAAACCTTAATTTTTTTTTTAAATTTAAATTTATTAAATATTATTTTGTTCTTTTATAAGTCCTTTTTTTCTACTTTTATTACTTTTTTTCAATATTTTTTATTTTGGTTTTATAAATATTTATATATTCTGTAAGCACATCGTATTAAATTAATAATATCCCGAGGAAAATGTTCTACTATACAATAATAGTCTCGAGTATACCTCGCTACTGAGGTCACTATAGTAGGTACACTATTTTATTACAGACGTATTAAATTTAAATTTTATAATAAATCATTATAAACAAAAAAATAGTGGAAATTATTATTAGCTTATGTAAACCTTTGAGGATAGTTTATATATTTCTATTTGTAATACTGCAGGTTGCACTAATTATTTCCTTAAATATTACATGCCCTCAAGTAAACACTGACGTATCGTGTACTTAATGGTCATCGCTATTCATCTAATAACGTCTCGTCTTTCAATGATAGACATTAAAAAAATAGTATTGATTTATACAAAATACAGTTTCTTAAGATGTTATTTTAACGTTATTTACTAACAATTATTTAATCTATATAATTATTGACACATGATACATAAAATACAATTTAATGCCATGAATAGGTTAGTGGTAAGTAAGTACTTCACTTCAAATTAGTTTAAGTATTTTAAAAATATCATTGTGTCAAGTTAATAATAATTTACGTAATAGTGAAAACTTTCAAGTTCTTAAGAATAATGTTTTTGAATTACAACAAAATAATGAAAATCGTTATTTTTTATTTAAATATTTAATTTTGTTAATATATAATTAATTCGAATTTTAAGTAGATATTTTTGATATTTTTCAGCTACTATAAAAACAACCTATGATCATGAAGGATCTTGTATTACATTATAATATATAAAGATTTTTTATTTAAAACGAAGTTTATCAATATATCTACCTACTACATCGAAAAAAGCTTAAAACTTCAATTATTTATAAATAGTTCAAAAAGTCCAAAATATTTTAAAAACTATATTATGTCTGGAAAATGCTTTAATAAATATTTGTTATAAAGTATCTACGGTTATTCGTTTTAAATTACAACAAAAGAAAAAATCATTTTTTTTTTTCGTAAGTTGATTTTTTGCAAATATTTCGGTTTCTTATTTATTTTTAGTTTTTCCGATTATTAAAAAAAGTACCCAGTGTTTGTTACATTTAATGTGTTAAAATAATAACTAGAACTGATTTGCTACCAAAAATTATCTTCGTTATTGAAGACTGAAACGATTTTACTTATTCAAAAGTTGAAGGGGGCATATATATATATACAAAAAACACACATTTTCTTAAACCAATACATTATTCATTGATTCGCTATAAGTATTTAAAATGTATTAAAAATTGGTGTAAATCTTTGATAAAACTCAAAGAGCAATCTTGATCCAATGATTTTTAAATGAATATACAAGTGTTCACAAGATTCCAAAAGTATAACTAGGAATTTACTATAGTATAATACAAATAATGATTGCTATATAAAATATTATGGTTTAACACAAAGATATTATTTAAACATTGATATTTGTTCTTAATATAACTGTACTTAAACCATTTAATTACTGACTTTATTACTAATTAAACAGATTAAAAATGTATTAAATTATATTTTAAATTATCATGAAAAATAATTAATTTATCAAAACTTTATAATATTGTTTTCTGTTTATTTTCGAAATTTTTGAATAAATAAGTATAGGTATAAAGTACTGCGTAGACAACTAGCAGACGTAAAGCACGTTTTTATAATATTGTTTATCAGATATCTACGCTGACAGAAATGGAATCCGAAGCTATGCAATATACCTACGTAGGTTTGGTTAGGTTAAGTTACCGACCTATTGATTGAAATAATTTATTTTTAATAAAAACTACGTTTATCGTAGGAAGTACATTATAGTTTTGTAATATTTTTAAGCCTGTTATTATCACATAGGTAAATGTACGCAGCTATCTTTCTTGCAGTATACATTACCTTGATTTGATTTTACTCGGACGCAAAGCAAATACGATCACGATTACAATAAATACGTGTACATATCCAGAAATTTTGTTTGTAAAGAAAAAAAAATAATAAATTTGACAGTTTGAAAATTATTTTATGCGACTGTTCACCACAAAGGTAGTCATACTGGTACAGATGATATCGATCGATTATAACCAATCGCAGTTCACTAGGTTTCTTTATAGGGCGACAGATCTACACATATTATTTTTATTACCATACATATAGGTAGAGGTGGATGTACGCCAACATAGAATTATAATATATACATATTATTTATATTTACACGGCGGCAGTGATTATGTAGAATTTTATGTCACGGTGTAAAGTGTACCTATACAATTTCCTCTATAGATACCTATGATGATGCCATAATGAACCGATTACAAGGGCGTTCGATCATTTAAAATTAAATAAAATATTACTATTTCATAGAAATGACATTAATTTAATATTATGACTGTATTTACAAGGAAACGCGATGGATAATGGCGGAAAATAATAACTTTATAGTCGTTTGATAAATTGTACAATAGTTTTATATAATAGATACATAATATTGCGTTTATGACGAGAAAATAAACGCGTAAATTTTTCTGACCTTTCGGTCGGTGGTAGCTCTTCTACCTAAAAAATGGGACGTGCATTAAAGTTTAGGTTATATCTATCTATGTATAGATAAGAATAAACTCAACTCAGCACGTCACGACGAGGGTAAAATAATATAAATGTTAATCTGGACTTCGATTATTTTTTTTTGAGTTTTTTTGCAAACTCATCTAATTTTATACTTTGTCGGTCATCAACTAATTATAATAAATAAAAACCAAATTCTATAATACTGAGTTACATAAACAATCACGTAATATTTAATAAATCGATAGTGAGTTAATGGTTGGTCTATTAGACAAAAAATTGTATGTAATTCATTATACGTAAAATTAAATATTTTAATATCAACCCAAAAGCCAAAAGTTATTTTTATTAATTACGATTAACATATATAAAAAATAATAATAAAACGTCAACGTATTAAAATTATGTCAGCGCAATAGTTTTGTTTCTCGGACCCATGCGCAATAAAGACAAAAAACACATTCACGCAAAATAGTTTTTCATTTATATTATAAAAATTATACAGAATATTTTTTAATTGCAAATATTACCTACATGACTTTAAACTCGACTTAAAATTAAATATTAAATTGTTTTGAGACAATATTTGTATAAATAGATATATTAACCCTTGAAAATATTAGTATCTACGACTTTTGTAATGGATTATTATTTTACTCTTAATTATTCAAAAATATAAAAAAATGATTTCACATAATTTTATTTTGTTGCATAAGGGCCAGAAAGAGAAAAGCAAATAATGCATTGACATTTTTTTAAGAGTATGTAGAATACAACTCATGTCATATTCTTTTAAAATAATTAAATACTTAAATGCAAAAATGCTTATTTTCAAACTTTTGTCTCATTACATATTTTAATAAAACAAAAATATCAACTTTAATATTTTTAGAGGATAAAGTGAATCATGTTCATCGGATTTAGGGTTAGGTTTTCAACGATATTCAAAAATAAAAACAGCAATTTTGTTTAATATCAAAATCGGTGTTTAGCTATTTTTTAAATATTTAACAGTACCTGAAAAGTTGAGGTCTAGTTAAAAGTTTTCGTAATATTACAATACATGTATTTATACTAACCTATATATATTGTGTATCGGATCTTGTAAGACGTTATCATCGCAATATTTTCACTGCATACTTAAGGTTTCACACTAAAAAGTATCTAAACACATAAATAACATATTATATGATAAATGTCTTGTATCGTATGCTTTATAAGCTATTATGTGACAACAATTATAAAAAAATAGCTCAGTTGTGTTATTTTTTATTGAGTTGTACGAAAGCACTCGTATACCTACTCGAAAATATTATGGATATAATTTGTTATCGTTATCAGGTGCAATATAATATAATTAGTAATTATTATGGTGTTTTTGAAAAACGCACAAGGACGCACACGCTGTACAGGACCGCCGTATGGATGGACGCGAATGAGTTTACAGCGGTCGGTCTAGGAGTTTTTGTCGGAAAACGATGTCAGGGCGTATCTTGACTAAAGCCCGCACTCGGTGTAGCGCAACATCGCGCAACATTTGATTTTATTTTAGAGCGTACGGACTGATGTTTACGTTATATTGTACGCGGCGGAGGCGGCGACGGCATGACATCGTGTGCGCCACCGTAGCGGTATGCTGTCCCCTACCTCATAAAGTCACCACTGGGCTCTGGCCGTGGTGTGGCTCGCACGCGAACGGACGACCAGCCGACAACCACTCCACCAGCGAACCGATGATTAAATTTAAAACGTTGAAATTTAGGGAACTTCTTTAAAAAAATAATTTAACGTCTTCCAGACTGCGGCTGGACGCGGCAGATCGCGTCCAAAAATAAAATGGACAAAGACTTCAAATCGTAAAGTGTTGTAGGTACACCACTGTGAATCATATGTACTTCGATGTTGAACGTCATGCTATACTGGCGATCCTCACGTCCTTTCGTTTATCGTGCAGACGATCGCAGAAAATCGTCAGTCGACAATCGTACGTTCGAACGTAAGGACGGTTGTTTTTTTTCTTTATGAAGTATCAACGAGGAGCGGCATTGTGTACACACTCGTAGTTTTACCGTGCGCCGTGTGCTCAGTATAAGTATCGTATTTAACAGCTGCATGCTGTTACCTTGACTGCGAACGTGAATACTAAAAAACGGATTTCAAGTTATAGACTGTAGTGGTATCTACCGTCGGCGAGAAAACCGAATTTCCAGGAGCGATTCGAATGACCTTGTACGTATACCATCATCACCGAATAAGTCCTATCTCTCACCTACACGCATAATTAAATAACCCGATTAATAATTTCGAAAAAAAGGTTGTGGGTACGTTATAATAACATTAATATTGGCGTTGTGCGAGGATCGTTGATTTGCATTTCAAACGGCACGGTGTGAGTGTTGGCCATCACAGCACACGGATACATAATATATTATATCATGAAATACGATATTTAACGTTACGGAATCATGCCATAGTATGCACTGTGGTTTTATTATTACTATTATTATTTTGGTGATGGCGGCATGTTGCGCCGTAGCTTGCAACATATCGTTGTTGTGATGTCGTGCAGACTGCAGTCATGTGCTGTGCAATCGTGACGCCAGTCACTCGCTCGTAATTCTTTCCGACTACGATTTGAACGAAAACAACAATACGTATTTTGTAGTGACTTCCACATGACGAGTGACGATAAACGATAATCCAGAGCTGTAAGTTTCGTGTACTTGCGCTCGTATTGTAGCATTAGCATAAACACATAAGTGTATCCTTTATTTTAATATCTATAGCCGAACGTACGTGTAATAACCGAACCACGCTATCTACCGTGTATACACTGTGATACCACATTAACGACTGTCGTTCTGGGCGCCAGTCCAACAATATACCCAGGAGGGGGATTCTTTAACCAAAGGTAATTTTGAATTTATCATAAAGTACGATGCGTACGGGTTGGTAAACTGAGTCTCATATCAATATTTTTTAGTTAACTGAGTTACGTAATTAGAATAATTTCCGTCTGCAGTCTGGAGGTTAAGTGATTAGGTTAAGGTTAATTTAATATAATTTAATTAATCGCTGATTATGTGTTTTTGACCTAGATTATATCGTCTCGTTTAACAGGAACATAATTATTGAATTATTTAATTTTTTTAATAATTCACTCATTAGCATGTCTAATTTTAATGTTTATAATAAATAAATTAATATTAATAAATATTAAGATGTAGTTAAATAAATATATCAAATAATAAATAATAAATAATTTAGTATATATCTAAAATAGTATTTATAGAGTATAGAAAAATATTCCTATCATTAGTATCACATTTTATTAATAAAAGTATTAAAAACATATCAGTAACACAAAAATATCCAGTCATATTGTTCTTAATTTTACGTAGGTATATTACATGATAAAGTTAGTTAATTATGAAATAATTTATGAGGAATCTTGTATTAAAAAATATAGAAAAAATATTATTTATAATTGAAAAATACGGGAAATTTTCTATTTTGACTTTTATAATATATCAATTAGATCTAATAAATATTTAAAAACCACCTTCAACTTTGAAGGTCAGACATTCTTTTAATTATAGTTCGTGTAAAACAAAACTAAACATCATTATAAAATCAATACATTCATTGCTTATTGAATTATGGAATTATGGTTTTATGAAATTCTGCCAAATCTTTTATTTATAGAGTTAAAAATTACTTTTAAATGACAAAAATAATGTAATACTTAAAATTTAAAATTTTATTCTTTTTTAAAGTTAATTTTTATAAATCTTATCATTTTAATTAAATCGTTTTTAATAACATTGAGGGTTGAAAATTAACCGAATTTTATTTTTTATGCAAACAAATGACCACATATATATATAATATATACTTGTTTAACCATTGATTATGAAAATATAGTTTAATTTAAATATCAGGATTTTCCCGTGACATTAATTTAATTAAATTAATTTTAATGTTTTCTAATTTATGTATATATTTTTAATAGCTCGACTTAAAATGTATACTTAATTTGACGGTTGATAATATCGTGTACTTACCTATATCCATATTATCAATATGGTATTGATCATACCATTGAACACCACTGTACCTACTTAGTTCAAACTAAACCACCTCATTTCTATTTTACCGGGCTGTTTAGACTTTTTTTTCTGATCTGTATATATCTTTTAAACTGAAAAATATAATAAAATTAGAATTCAACGTTCGGTATTAATTTTGAACTTGAAGTAGTATAAAGTTATTCAATATGATTCATAGTAAAGCTTAATTTACTACTAAAAATTATTTCAATTAAAAATAAAATTTTTTTTCTTTGGTAGATTTTTAAAAATTATTATTTGTATTTAATTTTTTTATTCTAAGCGTAGTTAAATACAATTTTTAATTTTCAGAAAATTCAAAGGGTTTTTTTTAGAAATGTATTATTTTAAAATTTTACATATTTTTTGGAGCTTTAGAAAAAAAGTTTTTTCCAATTATTTTTAAATTTTTGATCCCATATTATTAAAATTTTTTACTATAGGAACATTTTTGTTGTATTATTATATGCATATCATAATATGTTTACAGATCATATGAAATTATGTATAAATATATAGCTACCACAGTCGTAGCATTGTACTAATTAACCGTTATTTGTACTATGTACAATGCTTTTATTAAATTTTTTTTTGTCTATTATTCGTATTATTATGCTTATATTGATAATTTTAATTAATAAATTATATAATTTATTACTATAACTGTATCGTCTATAATAATGTTAAATTTCAACGTTGTTATTTTATAAATACAACAAGAAAATAATTATTTCTACGTATTTATTTTTAAACTTAAATACTTTAATATTATTATTTTATAAAGAATAGTTTATTGCCAAAATAGTTAATATTTTATTAAAGTTCTTGAAAAACATTTTTTTTTTTTTTTGAGATTGTTGAAATAAAAGTACTAAAATTAAAAGACTATGTATTATACGTAAGTTATAACAAATAACATTAATAACATATTTTCGTAAAATAATATCCATATTTATTTCATAACTGTATTTTAAAAGTTTTTATCATTAGGAAGATACTTATTATGTTAATTAATAAGATTCACTTAAGTAATGTACATATTAGTTATTACTATTATTACTATCCTGTGTAAAGATAAATAACACTAGTGATTGTTCAGCTGTTGGTTTCTGGCATCTTGTCTTGCTTTTTATATTTATTTTATCATTTATGGTAATTTTTGGTATAAATAAACTTAAAATATTAATTGACTAAAAGTTATAGACATGGCGTTGCAACACAGAACTGTTTTGCAAACATTCAAAAGTCTAACGTAAAGTTGTAAAATTATAATAATAAGATTAAAAAATTAAAAAAATGTAAATTAAATATTTTAAAACTATTTTTTATTTTTAATACACTTATTACATTTTATAATAAAATAATCGTTTAAGTTGTTTACTAATTATAATAGAACATTTTAATTGGGTTTAAGTAAAAGTGTTAAATTTGGGTTTATTGATTAATCATTATATACGATAAAAAACGAATTGTTACTTTTTAGTAACCAAGGTTACCAAACAACTGACTGAAGAAATAGGGCTAACGGCGGATTAATATTATATTTTATCTTATTAGGTACACATTAAAATGGTAACGTACATGCAAATTGGTTCAATATCTAAATAGTTACAATAAAAAAGGTGTATTTCCCTGGCACCCCCACCTCCGAATTTCGGATTCAAACCAAGGGCTTTCGTTTGTGCTACGTTTGTGCTGGATTGTGCTCGAATTTCATCGTTTGTGCTGCAACCCTTCAGGAGTTATAAGGGATTTCTTTTGGGGGTGCTGGCGAAACGACTGCACCCCACCTCAGAATTTCGAATTCAAACCAAGGGCTTTCGTTTGTGCTACGTTTGTGCTGGATTGTGCCCGAGTTTCATCGTTTGTGCTACAACCCATCAGAATTTATAAGGGTTTTTTTGTGGGGGTGCTGGCGAAACGACTGCACCCCCACCTCAGAATTTTCAAATTTAAATTATGCCATTCGTTTGTGCTACGTTTGTGCTGGATTGTGCCCGAGTTTCATCGTTTGTGCTACAACCCTTCAGGATTTATAAGGGATTTTTTGTGGGGGTGCTGGCGAAACGACTGCACCCCCACCTCAGAATTTTCAAATTTAAATTATGCCATTCGTTTGTGCTACGTTTGTACTGGATTGTGCCCGAGTTTCATCGTTTGTGCTACAACCCTTCAGGATTTATAAGGGATTTTTTGTGGGGGTGCTGGCGAAACGATTGCACCCCCACCTCAGAATTAGGTTAGGTCAAATTTAAATTATGCCATTCGTTTGTGCTACGTTTGTGCTGGATTGTGCCCGAGTTTCATCGCTTGTGCTGCAATCCTTCGGGAGTTATAAGGGATTTTTTGTGAGGTCATAACGCACCCCAAATTCAAAATTTTGGAACTCCAAATGAGCCATTTTATGTTGACACACTACCATTAACAATTATTAATCCAAATCAGTCTCGTTGGTTTTGACATTGTTAGTGATTATTTGTACTCTTTTTTCCATCGTTATTGCTTTACTCGTTATTCGTAAAAAAGTTTTTAATCTTTTTTATAAGTAGGTGCTCTGGAAATCCTAAAATGAGTACAGCCCCTAAAGTTTTGTCGGAAACTGTTTGTTGTTAATAGGTAAATGTTCTATATGAGTCTTTTGATTATTTCTCGTAGTTTTTAGGTTCAAATTTAACTTTACTCTAGAAGTTTGATTTTTGTAATATTTACGTAAATCAGCGATTGGTAACCCGCAGCCGGTGAAGCAATTTTTCATTACCCACGCGTTAATTTTTGTTCAATAATATTTTTCATATAATTTTTAGTATTAATTAATTCTTTTGGCTTTATAAATAAAAACTAGTCTAATCGTTAATACTTAATGTTTATACTATATAGTTAATTTACAAGTGGAGGTCATTGAACTTCAAAATAACAAAGTTTTAAACAATTTTTTTTTGAGACGCAATTCGCTTGCTTCAATTTTATAGTTGTCTTCATGTATGTCTACATTTCCGGGAATCAGACAATTGGCACAAAAACTTATAGTGACGTTTGCAAGTATATATGTATGTAATCAGACATTTTCTATTGGGAAGTACAGAAAAAATAAGCACTCCTCAAGCCTTAGTTATAAATGCTTACACGCTGTATTACGAGTTAACAACAAGTTTTCAAGCTAGCTGATATCGAAAAATTAACTAATAAACTGCAAGCACAGAAATCGCATAATTTACAAATTTACAATTTTTTATTCAATAAAATTTTTTCTAGTAGAATTTGTATCTTTTTTTACTCATATTTCCACGTAAAACGATAAAATGTAATAGCAATAAAATTGTTATATAATATTATATCGTATGTAATTTTTTTTTTTTTTTTTGTTAATGGTGGCCCTTGATGAAAAATTGAAAAAAAATATGACTTACTTAGTTAAAAAGGTTACAAGTAATCGTAATTATTGTGAACATCTACTACGATATATAACTAAATGGCGCCAATAGATAATATTTCTTTTTACAAAATAATCTGTATCTTTAACCGTTGAATGTTAAAATTAAAAACCAAAAATTACAAAAAAAAAAAAAAAAAATGTAAAATAAATAGAGTTTAAAATTTTTTAAACCATTATTAACTACAAAAAAAAAATATACTTTTTATACAATAGTTAATACGTAGGTAGTTCGTAATAACACCTACGCCTAAAAAAATGTCAAAAACTTAATACAACTCATATAATATAATATAATATAATAAAAAGAAAAAAAAATGCTATTGAATAATTTAAAGTAGTTAATACTCAAATAAGTTTTATTCATTGTTTAACTTTTTACTAGTTTTTTAAGCTTTTCATAAACATTTTGGCCAAACCGATATAGGTAATGATTAAGGGCAATAGTTTCGATTTTGTAATATTAGTTTATTACTAACATTTTAATATAAACTATCCGTATAAATAGGATAATAATTTATATAATATGTAGAGCATCATGAATATGATGATCCATTTCATTCACATAACCGTATTTATATTGCTTTGCGTAATCATTACTATAATTTATTATTCATGTATCATTAATAATATATATTACACAATGTACTATTAAAAAACTATTAATATATATGTTTTATCAAATACTTCGTAAAACACATTATCTACTCATCTACCTTTAAGTTTTAAATTTTGAATAACTAGTATTGTTGAAGAAGCCAACTAAAGAAACTTAACATGTATTTTCTTATTGTTTGTTGACGAAAAGAGCTTTAAAATAGGTATGTTACAACTGTAAAGAATAAAATATTATAATAACATTTATTATATATTACGTTACAATTCCAAAATTATTAACAGTTAAAATTAAAAGTTTTTTATATAATTGATGTTTATATTTATTGAAATTTAAAATTAAAATAAATAATTTCCAATATTATTCTCGTTTGATACTAATTTATAATCTTACTATGTATCATACTTAAAACATGCATGTTTGAACTATACATGTACTATAATTATTATACTTTAAAATCAACTTAAAAAATGTATTGGATGCTTTTAATGTAAAAAGAATTGAGTACTATTAATAATTTACTCCATTTTGGTATTGTTGCTCTAGTTGGGTAAATTGGACATGACTGTATTACGTCAATTAGTTCTCGGTATATTTCAGTTGCCGCTAGAACTGAACCTACTAAATCTTGTGGCAAATATTTTATAGCACCCATTGATTCAAATTGTTTTTTGTTAGCCAACTGTATCATTTTCGAACAATATTTCTTTAACTTCTTATTTCCCAAAGACCTGGGATTTTTTTCTTGGCATAATATCCTTAAATCTTCTTTTTCGTCGTCCATGTATTCAGCTGGAAAGTAACACCGACCAAGTGTTTCGCTGTCAGTTACGAGATCCCGAGCGATATTCACGAGTTGTAAACCCTTGAAAATAATACATTATATATATAGAGTAAATCCAAATCAGTATTCGTAGCAAAAGATAAACTTGTTTGTGGTTATGATTTATTGTTAATTGTTAAAATGTTCTTTTATTTAACATATAAATAAAACAATTTTATGTTATATAAGTATCCAATAACTATTAACCTACTATATGATTAATAAAATTAACCACATAAGTAAAAATATAACACTTTAAAACGCTTTATATTATAATATAAAATTAACAATTAATCTTGATATGATAAATCAAAGAAATATATAGAAGATAAAAACAAACTGATGAAAGGTAAAATGATAAAAATATGTGGAAATTACAGGTGACTATTTTAAACTATTATTAGTTTTAGTTACTGCCTAGTTATTAGTTTCCTAGTGTTGGTTGCATGCGTCTACCAGATGTGCGAGATTTAAACCCATTGCGGACTGCATCCAAATTTTCTTTCTAAAAAGAAGAGTATTGTTTTAACTAGTCAAAAATCTAATTTCGAGTGTGATTTTTTGGGTTCACGAGTTCGAATTATCAGAGTAAAAGTTTAGGTAAGCGACCGATTTTTGCTGTTTTGCACGTCATATGTATTGTAGTAAAATATATAACTATAGTAAATTCTATGTATTGTAATCATGAGTTTTATTAATGAGACTAGATTATTTAATGGTAATTAGTTGTTACTTAATAAGATTATTATTTGATAAATATATACAAATCTATATCAAATAATAATAATAAATAGCATCCAGATAGATTGTATAATAATATTATAAATAAAAATGGATAAAACATTATTTTTACATTCACTTATATATTTTATTTTAGTTTAAAATTGTTTGTTTTATTTAAAATTTTTTTTATAAATATACTGACATATTTTTGATTTCAATACTTTTTACGTAATAATTAATCTTTAGCTGAATTAATTAATACAAATAGCTTATAATATGGAATTTTTAATTATATGTAAATGAGTAATCGTTAAATATACGTTATTTTAATAATATAATATAGGTTAATCAAGGAATAATTGTATATCCATATTGTTTAACTTATATATTAGACAAAATTACATATAATGTGGCCTGAACTCACGGCATTAGTACTCTCAAAAATACAAATACATTTCAAACACTTCAAACTCGAAAAAAATTACGAAATATTCAATATTTAAATTAAAAAAATATTTATGATTATAAATAGAAATTTTTGAAAATTGTCGACGGCTGCTAAATGGAATGCGGCAGAATAACTGCTTACATTTTTATAATACGAAATTCCCATGATCGGCGTTTAAACTAACAATATACTTCAACATAATTGCATAAAAACATACATAAATAGTATATACAAAAATCTTAAAGCATATTGATATAGAATTATAGCTTGGAGAAATTTATAGCACACTATATTTTATATGAAAATAAAATTGAAAGTTTTGCCATAAAAAAAAGTTATCTATAGGTACATACAAAGTTAAATATTTTTAAATATACAATTATCTTGATAATGAACAACGCGACTATCGACTAAACTAGATTCATAACGAATGATGTATCAAATAAAATAAAATGTGTAAATACAAGTATTCTAACAATGATAAAAAGTTAATAAATGCTTTTTTATAAACAACTTACTTGTCCTATTTTGTATGCACATTTAGTCAAATAATCAGCCTTATCGTAGAGATCATCAATGTCATTACCATATCTATATATGAATACATAAACGCATAATGCGCCAATGCTTCCAGCGACATAGGTGGTGTATAGCATTAAATCTTTTTCGTTTTGAACCAACGTAAAATCAAGATCCCATTGGTAACCCGTAAATAACTCTTCGAAAGGCTTACGGGGTAAAAAAAATGCAATTCTAGATACTGCACGATAAGATGATAATTCGACATCAGTGAACTCGGATTCGTATTTTTGCCAATCAATATTTAATTTTTGTGGTACTTTTTTAACCTCATAATCTGATTTTCTGTCAGCAAAAATTTCACTTATAAATTGTTTAGATAGATCTAATTTGACTTTTTTCTTTTTCTCATCCGTTTTGTTATCAAACATTTCGTCCGTTACACGACAAAATGAATACAGAATTATTAAATCTAATCGTATACCTAAATTAAAAATATTTATAATTATACAATATACACATTGATAATAGTTTAAATATAATTATAATACTGTCAAAACTTTTTTGTAAGCACGCAATTAATGCTTTAATAATAGTTAAATGTAAAATATATACACATAATGCTAAATAACTCATTTTCATACAAAAATGTTGTAATTTTTTGAAATTTCATTCGAAAAAAACTTGTTTAAGTATTATTATGATTATTATATATATCTTAAAATACATTGAATATATATTTTATATAATTTGCTTATTGACGTACCAAAGGTACATATTATATTTAATCTAAATAAATTATTTAAAAACGCGAGTGTGTAAGTAGTATTATATGATATCATTTAAATAATATGTATTGATTCTTACACTTTTCAAACACTTATTGTCTTTATTTATTTTAACGATGATCAACTTACCAACATGGAAAAGATAATTGGAAGTACCAAACGCATTCGAAGTATTTAAGACCTTAATATTTGCTTTAATATCTTCTACCACCTCAGAAGGCATAGAATATTCCGATGTCGCGAATGCTCTTAACATCTGTCGAACAAATCTCCAACTAACACTGAACTGGTGAGGGAATTCCAATGAATATGTAATTATCATACCGTACGCTTTATCGAAGCACGATCCGGCCAAGACAACCATCAAATTAGTGATTAAGAAAAATACTTCTTTAAGCGCCAACTCGCCCATATCTTTATCGTCTTTGACGGTCATCCGATTAATCCAACACATGTACAACGTAGGGCCCGCGATCGCAATCAACAATGGTATGATCTTTTTTACAAAAAAGTTGCCAGTTCCGTACCACATGAGCATGATTGCCGGGGACGCCCAACACAGTATGCATCCCAAGTAAAAATTTTCTTGCGTCAGCACGACCATCATGTAGCCGGTTACCATAACGGTACTCAACAGCGATATCGGTAACCAACGAATCAACTGGTAGCTATATTTGTCGCAGTTGAAGCTCAAACACGGAATCGACCACTGAATGAAGATCAAGGACCACAACAAAGTGAGAATGGTTTGCACGACCACATGTATGTACTCCTCGATGGGTACATTTCCGATTACGGCTAAAATTGATTCCGGCGAATACATTCTAGCCTTGATGTACACATAATAGATGTACAGTGGTATTGCGTAGAGTACAGCTAAAACACTTATACTTCCAATTTTAAAAATTTCCAGTCGATTGATACACGGCCGAGTTATTAACGTTAAGACACCGATGATTGGTAGAGTGTACGATAAATAAATCCTTTGATCGGGTAACATTTCCATAGTTTACGAATACTGAAAAATCGTGAAATCATAAGCAATGAAATAGGTACTAAATATTTATGATGTATTGAATGTAATAAAAATGATCATTTAAAATGTACTATATATACAAAATGTAACAAGTGTGGATGATTTTTAAACGATATTCGTTTTAAAACGATAAAGATAAATAAGTGTAACACTTAACCAAATTTTATATAATGGCTTACAATTTTAATAGTACATTTTTGATTTGTACATTATATTATTGCCAAATAGATAAAACAATACAGCCGATATAGCTAGAAATTAATGTTGTAGTTGTTTATGTTTAACCTTTTTTTTGACATTGCAACAAGTGATATTTTTTAATTTATTGATTAATATTTTAAGTTATGAAAATGTGTAATGTAAAAAATATTTAATTTTTCAAAAGTGAAATAATATTTGAAGATGATGGAATTTAAGACGTAATTACTTATAAATCTTATAAGCATAAATAAAATTTATTAATCTATAAAAGTGGGAAAGAAAATATTATAGAAATTTTTCTATGATAGGAGAACTAATATTGGGGTTGCAATTCGGATGTCGTTAAAAACCCACATTGTACCATTGCACTTGACAAATAATTTAATAACATAATTATGTAATTTTATAAGGCTTTAAAAATTGTGAAACTTACGTGTTGGATATACTATGTATTTCAACGAAAATCAAAACACTCGAAATTGATGAATTTTGTTAACTGCGAACAAAAAGACACTAAAATTTGTCTAGTAACATGCTTAGTTATATAAAAAAAAAATAACCATTAAGTCGATGATAATTTAATATAGTTAATAAAAAATAATATGTACTTAATGTCTAAATTAACCTTTTACCTTACAAAAACATTACATGCTATTACATATTTTTAGCACGTAGTCCTATATATATATATATACTTATATTTTTTTATTTACAAATATTAATATATTATAGTTCTATTCGTCAACAATAAATATAATTTCAAGTTATTAATCATATTTTTAAGATAAAATCGAACTTAAGAACCCCTTTCCCCCTCAACACATACGTATAATGATAATCATTGACCGTTTTATCCTAACAAATAAATAGACTACATTTTTTTGTGTTTTACTGAGAAAATCAGGTTGTATATTTATTAATGATAAGTTTTCATATAAAAATATTTATTGCGATATTCAACAAATTAAAAAAAAAATATAATAACTCAATTTTTTAAAAACTTAATATAATAAGTGTTAGGTAATAATTATATATTAGGTGATTGAAGTTTCCTTAAATTTTAATTAATTATATTCTACACAACCATCATCTCGACAAAACTCCTATCATATGTGTCTCATAATATAAGTATATCTTATGTACGTAATAAAAAAAAAAAAAATGTTTTCTGTCTATTTAAATTTCTATTTTAGATTTTTTGATTCTTGGATTTTATCTTGATTGAGGTTTTTTGAATACCGCCACCGATTATATAAATTGTTTCTATTGTGCCCATATCAAAAATAACTAGATTTCAACTAAATACTGTAAAACAGTTTTTACTTTTTAGAAGAATGTTATAAAACAATATCAAACATAAGTCACAAATAATGTATAACACGGTGAACTTTGCATCGTGATTAAATGTAAGTGATAATTAACATTAAAAGTTTATATATATATAACATGTAGGTAAATACAATTATCTTAATTTAAAAGAAATGAAAATAGATCATCAAGCATTATAAAGCTATTATAATTGTGAATAATATGATAAAGTAAATGCTATATTATTTTAATCTCCTAATACTAAAATATTATTCCTTTAAACTTACAATTATAATTATTCACATGGCAAGTATGAAATATTGTCAGGTCAAAATATTAACGATTAAAACATCGACAATAAAAAATTAATAATGATAAATATTATTGATTTCGGAATAAGTTGTTATAATTTACAGAAAATATAAAAACGTAATTTAGTAATAAAACGATAAAAAACGCAAATGAATATTGAATAGTTTTATATTAAAAATGAATATTATGATATTATTGATATTATGGATTATATTAATATAGGACAAGCAAACGATTAATCTATGTAGGAACTTCACTTTAATCATAAATCAATAAAAGTCCAAATGAATAGCATCGGCATAGTTAGTAAAGAGGAAGAGGCTTATTCTTATTTCTTAAAATTTTTTAGCCCCAATAATTTTGTTCTTTTCAACCTTTTCTAGTTAGAATCTAAATACTTATATAAAAAAAAAAAAATTATCAAAATGGGTTCAATTTTTAATCATAAGCACCTCTAGAACAAGCCTTCTGTAACTCGAAATGATCCAATTTGAGTTATGACTATTTTCAAGTATTAAAAAATTAACTCAATATTATTTTTAAAGTAACAAAACTATATTTACTTTATAGGACTATTCAGTTTTAAGTTATTAACCAAAGTTAAAATTCAAGACTACCGTATTTCAATTTAAGCAATCATGGCCCTAAATAAAACTAATACTTGTGTGATGTATTTAGTGGAAAATGGTTGAATTCGGTTATGGTGATATAGGAATTCATAATTTGTGATAAATCTGCAGTACTATAAATTATAGCAGTTTTGAATTGACTTAAAAATTATAAAAATAAGTTTAAAATTTAAAATCACTTCTTCTCAAAACTATAAATTAACTAAAACATAATGTTATTCTAAAATTACAATTTGAAACGACAACCTCTATTATATACCTGTTGATAAAATATTATTATATTATGATGATTTTTTTTTTTAAACAATTTATAAATATAATATATGTATATATATATATACATTTTTAAATAGTAGTAATATTGATGTTTATAGTGTTATAGATAATTAACAAAATGGTGATTAAAATTATCATCATCGGGGCCGGAGTTGGTGGTACAGCAGCTGCTGCTAGACTTAGCAAAAAAGGATTTCAAGTAGAGATTTATGAAAAAAATGCATATAACGGTGGAAGATGTTCGCTCATTTATCAAAACGGACATCGATTTGATCAAGGACCGTCATTGTATTTGATGCCTAAAATATTTGAAGAGACATTTGAAGATCTGGGAGAGGACATTAAAAATCACATAGAATTATTGAAGTGTCCTTCTAATTACAGCGTACATTTTCACGACGGTAAAACATTCGAACTCACCACAGATATATCTAAATTATCTCGTTCTTTGGAAAAATACGAAGGTAATGGTGAATCGACTTTAATTAATTTTTTGAGCTATTTAAAGGAAACTCACGTGCACTATCAAAGGAGCGTTAAAGTTGCACTCAAGACCGATTTCCAACATTGGTATGATTTTTTTCAATCCAAAACATTTACCAGACGTAATACAGCTGCATCTGTTGGACACTGTTTACAACAGAGTTTGTAAATATTTCAAAAGCGACTACATGAGACGGGCGTTTTCATTCCAGACTATGTACTTGGGGTAAATAGAAAAATATTTTATACATTAAAAAAAAAATAATAATAATAATAAGACTGTGTTTATGTTTTTTAGAATGTCGCCATACGACGGTTTAGCACCTTATAGTTTACTGCAGTACACTGAAATAGCCGAAGGAATTTGGTACCCGAAAGGAGGTTTTAACAAAGTCTTACAAAGTCTGGAAAACATTGCCGTACGACATGGAGCCAAGTTCAATTATAACGCCGATGTCCAAGAAATAATAGTCGATGACAACGGAGTGGCGAAAGGAATCAAACTGGCAAACGGCGATGTAGTAAATAGTGACATTGTAATTTGTAATGCAGATCTCATATACGCGTACAACAAACTTTTACCAAAGACGTCGTACGCTGAAAAGCTCGGCAAAAAAGAACTTACTTCTTCTTCGATATCATTCTATTGGTCCATGAAAACAATTGTGTCTCAATTGGAAGTGCACAACATATTTTTGGCCGAAAAATATAAACAAAGTTTCGATCAAATATTCAAGGATCATACGTTGCCCGACGAACCGTCGTTTTATGTTAACGTACCTAGTCGCATTGACCCGACAGCAGCGCCAGAAGGAAAAGACACGGTCGTAGTTCTAGTACCAGTGGGACATTTATCGAATTTACCAAACATTGATTTCGATCAACTCGTGAAGAAGGCTAGGGAACAAGTAATCGACACAATAGAAAAGAGATTAAAGATATCGAACTTCAGAAGCATGATCGACCACGAGATAGTGAATGATCCGAGAACGTGGCAAAACGAATTCAATTTATGGAAAGGATCTATACTGGGATTATCTCACTCATTGTTTCAGGTTTTATGGTTCAGACCCAGTTTGAAATGTAAAATATTTGAAAACTTGTACTTTGTTGGTGCTTCGGCACAGCCTGGTACTGGTGTACCAATAGTTTTGTGTGGTGCGAAAATGCTAGAGAAACAATTGTGTGATAGATTTTTAGAGGGCAAAGTAGAAATTGACATATGGTCGAAGTGTGTTTCATTTTTAATCGGTCTCCTAGCACTTCTGATTTTTTGGTTTTTTTTTAGATTTTAATAATGATTGTTATTTGAATTATGTGTATATATTTTAAGCCTTTATCATTTTATTTTTATAATACTCTTAAAAAATGTTAAAAGCTTTATTTTTAAAGCATAAGATATTTAAATGTTTTATAATAATTATTAATGTATTTTATAGGTATACTGTTATGTAAGTTTAAAAAATACATTAGGTATACTGTAAGGTTAAATATTTTAATGGGATCATAGAGTTGGAGTACAATAGTATATTTTATATTACATAAACGTATTCAAAATTATACACACCTACATCAAATCTTAATATGTTGGTTAGTTTGAAACTGATATATTTTTCATTTTTATATTTTTCTAAAACGTAGCAATCAATATTTTAGTCAATTTAACCATAGCTTAAGTTAATATGTTATATTTATACAGAAGCACGTGATAATTATTTTTAATCATAAAGTCAAAATAACCAATTATATTATATTTCATAATTATATATCTAATATGTATAATAATTTTTATAATATGTGCACAGACGTCCATATAAATAATTTATTATTTTACAATCATATTTCTTTAATTTAAAAAAAAATTAAATGAATCAATAAAATTTGATTATTATTATATTATAATTTCATCATACCCATTAATTATAATATAATGTATTGTTTATTCTTACCATTGCATAGATACATAATTTATAGTATAAAATGCTTTCCATATATTATTTGAACTCTAATTAATATTTAATATATTAATTACGTGTATGGCCATTAATTGAATACAATTATTATTTAATCAATGATGATATAAAATATTAAATCATCATATCTAAATTATAAACAATAACACTTAAAAAGTTATTAGCTTATGACGAAAGAAATCCTCTGGAACACAAAAGTTATTATTACGTCATATTGTATTATTAAAACATATTATTATATATTTTTTTTTAACTTCTGATCAAATATTTCAAGAAAACTTCATGAATGATATTAATTCTATTAATTATGAAGTGTCATAATTAAAAGCAAACTGTGAAATGAAAAAATAAATCACCTGTTTTCTATTAAAAATAACAGTTATTATCCAGTTATAGAATTATAATGATAGTTGAATAAACTTAAATTTGTTTACCATTATCCCTACAAAGTTAAAATATTTTTTTAAGGCATTTCGTAGAAATTTAATGAAAATCGTTAAATTGATTTTTTCTGTTAAAAATATTCTAAGAAATTTTCACAATCAGTAAAGTTAATCTATGTGATACACCTTACAATACATTGGTACTAATCGATCCTAAACAACTTATTATTCTTTTAGTTAAATAAAAGATATTTAAAAAATAACATAAAGATATGATTTTTTTTATCAGCATTTGAAATTGAAATTTTGACAATTTTGTAAAATCAGAAATATTTTCAAATAATATTGTAGTCAAAAGTATTTAAAATTTTCAGTTGTTGTAGCTAATATTTGAAAATTTAAAACAAGGTGTAACTTGGTTGAGAGAACCTTATGATGATATTATTTATCTTGCTGGCAAAGATTTCTATTTGTTATGAACAGGTTTTATGTGGCTACTTGCTAGAGATCTAAGCATTTCGCAAGAGGTTTTATATCAATAAAATAGACACATTTGGTTTATACATCTAAAATAATTTTTAATATATTTATAATATTACTTTGCTATATGAATATGACGAATAAGTGTTTATCTACTTGAATTCACATTTAAGTTCACTGTTGTTGATGTTGAATTCCGAACTGCCTGCTGTATGTAATTTTAATATTAAATAATAATTTGGACGAAGTTGAAAAATGTCGAATGTGTATTTTTGTGGCGATCAATTTTATAGCGCATGCATTATGTACAATATTCATATACAGAATGTAACAAATGTTGTAAAGATTTCTCATTAGTTATTCTTACTAAATCGTAAAAATCTAATATATGTATAGATAAATACAAAACAAAGAATAATGATTTCGGTAATTTTTTTATTAAATAAAAATATTATTTGAAGAGACTTGAAACGTTTGCGGGTATATTATTATTTATTATACTTTACTGTTCATCTAACGGTATATGGAATACAGAGTTTCAATATTGGTATTTTAATAGCTAAGTGACAATTAATTCTATATGAACTACAAAACGAGATTTCGAAGATGTTAAAATTTTAACTAACGACCACATTATAAATAAAGATGGGTAGGTACTATCATGTCTGTGATAGCTGTATATAGAGCTGACATCCGATGAGTACGGCGGAAGCACGATCAACACTATCATAGTAATAGTTTAGAGTTTCCTTATTTCTCTACATTATTATTTAATGACTAATTCAAGGGCAACATGTTTTAGAATATATTAATTAATATCTCGCTCAAAAAAAAAACACTATTATAATATTCAGGACATGACAAACTTAACGCTTAACGGCTAGTAAAAAATAGTTTTAAAGGGCTAATTGTTTTCATAGTCGAAACATATAACTCGGCATTCCATATATCACATAATGATGATGTTTATATTTAAAAAAAGTGACAATAATGTATGTTCTCACAACATCAATTGTTGCAATTTACCATTACTCAACATGAATTATGAAAATATGGTTATACAGAATTCATTTAAATCAAATTATACAACGTACTAAATGCTTTTAATATATAAGGAATAAAGTCCAATTACAATTTTATTCCATTTTGACAGAGAAGCTCTAGTAGGATAAGTTGGACTAGACAGGATAGCAAAAACAAGCCCTTGATAAATATCAGTGGTTGCTAAAACCGAACCTCTTGTTTCCCGTGGCAAACACTTGATAGCGTTCACCGATTCTGATTGGTATTTGCTGGCTAGGTAGATCATCCGCATGGAGTATTTTTTTAACTTATTATCGCCTAGAGACCTAGGTTTCTTTTCTTGGCATAAGATTCTTACTTCTTCGTCTTCGTCGTCCATATAATCGGTGGGTATATAGCACCGACCCAATGTTTCGCTGTCAGTGACGATATCACGGGCAATATTCACAAGTTGTAAAACCTTCAAAAATAATTGATGTTTTATAAAATTAATATGTATAATATCTTATCGAAAAATCTATATATTTACTTGTCCCATTTGATATGCTTTTTTTATGACATAATCGTAGTTTTCAACAAGTTCAAACTTATCATTATCGCACCTGTACATCGTCACATAAACACATAATACACCGACACTTCCGGCCACATAGGTGGAGTATAACAATAAATCATCTTCATTTCTAATTAATCTACCTTCAATATCCCATTTATAACCTGTGAGTAACTCTTCAAAAGGTTTACGGGGCAAATAAAATGCGATTCTTGATAATGCACGAAAACATGACATCTCCACGTCAGTTAATTCGGATTCATATTTTGTCCAATTGATATTCAATTTTTGTGGTTTTATTCTAACATCATAATCTGATTTTCTTTCAAAAAATAAATCGTTGATAAAATTTTTGGTCAATTCAAACTTTCGTTTTTTCTTTTCAACATCCAACTCGTTATCAATCATATTATCCGTTACACGACAGAATGAGTACAAAATTATTAAATCCAATCGAATGCCTAAATAAAAAATAAAAAAAATTCATTAGAAATAACATTATTTATAAATATAATTTAAAAAACAATTGTACTAATATATTTAAGAAAAACTATAAATAATTTAAATAACTCATAAGTACAAAAACTAATAAACTAGTATATAATTTAATAAATCATAATTTAAATATAATCAAGCAATTATAAATTATTCAATTAAAAATCAAGTTTTAATAACAACTAACAAGTAATGCATAAATTAAATTTAACATTTCATGAAAATATTATATTTAAAAATGTCATTGAGTGTATAAAATATAATAATATATAAACGTTTTTAAGAACCCACGATTAATATTTTTTAAACAAAATATCTAAAATCGTTATTATTTATTTAAATATCTAATTTTGTTTAATTTAAAATTTTATTTGTCTACAAAAAATAATTTGATGAAAATTTAAAGTACCTGCTATCATTTATTTTAGAGTTAATTTGAAAAAAGAAAATCGATTTTATCAAAAATTGAATTTACTTATAAATATCCTTAACTTATTTATAGCAATTTTCAAACATTTGAATTAGGTACTTTTAGATTATTCTATAAATGTTTGATAAATAAATTGTCTCTTGCTTAAAAAGTTTGAAAACTTATAATATGTTTCTTATTATTTGTTTATGATGAAATTTAAAACAAAATTGAGCATAAATTTATGATATTTTTTTACAAGCTGTAGTAAACCCAAAACCATAGCTTTTAAATATAACGTGTAGCATAATTAATTATATCTAGTATAATTTATAATGAGCTATTACAGTTAATAATATGAAAGATTTGAAAAGCCTAAATGTAGATCAAAGGTGAAAATTAAGCTGTTTTCGGAATTAATATGAAAGATTTGAAAAAGCCTAAATGTAGATCAAAGGTGAAAACAACAAGTTGTTTTTTAGCTAAGGGTGAGTTGCGGCCCGACTTGTCGTTTCCGGTGTTGATGCCCAGTGAATTGCGGCCCGGTAATATTTTAGGTATAGGTTAGTTGCGGCCTGACAATATCTTAACTACAGGTGAGTTGCGGGCGAGTAATTATCATTACCTAAGTTATATATACATAACTATAAATGAAAGATTCGCTATATATGTGGGATGTTATATTTTTATATAATATAGATCAGTGATTCCCAAACATTTTGATACTACAGACCACTTTGAGAACTTTCAATACATCACGGACCACCTTAATGAGAATCAATTTTTTTTACACATTTTAAAATTAAAATTATAAATAAATAAATACAATGAAATTTTTTACAAGTCTTTAATGTTTATAAATGATAATGTTTTCTAAAGCTTAAAATAATTAACAATTTAATGAAAATTACTATTCTAAAAAAATGTATATTATAATATTATATTTATTTAAGGTCGTATTATTATCATCATATTATATGATTAATACAATTTTAAATTTAAATTAATATATTAGTGGTACACATTTATACTTAAACTAAATTTAAAAATTTGTTATTTTTTGTTAGATTTGATAAAACAGAACTAAAATAACTACGACAACACACGCATGTCGACATAATGACTTGGTAGCATACTAGCATATTATTATATTATATTATATTAATTATAATATTTGTCATAATATTTATGTTGAAATCTTACAATTATACACCCACCCAGACTTGGCTACAAACCCATCTAATTCAGACATAAAGCAATTGCTTCAAATAATCTTACACCCCACTGCCACGTATATATTACATATATATGTAATATATATACATTATTGTATGGCCGCAATTCATACGTACCTCTCATAAACCCGGGCCGCAACTCGTACGTTATTTTGGGATTGGACCGCAACTCACCAACACCGGTTTTTTTAATCATAATTAGTAGGACCCGCGTAAATACGGGTAGAGCACTTACTAATTTTTAGAAAATAGTCAGCACTGTTCAAAGGCACATCACTCTTACGACAGTGCGTTTTTCTTAAGTAATTGTGTTTTAAATATATTAATACATTGTTTAACATTAATACCAGTTAGTATTAATTTAATTATCTATCTTTCTCAACAAACATAGGTACATCTCAAGACCGACGAAGACGTGCTACATCGTTTAAATAATTAATCATATTGTGTTCAACATGTCCTTCACAGAGATCACTACAAAGTGTTTGATTTTTTAATTTTGAGAAAAATTTGCAAAATCGTGGAACACTAATAGATAACACTGCTGTACATTTAAACTGTATAATATTTAATTAATAATTTTATTCATTATACAATATTATTCTTTAAGACCCAATTAATCTAAAGACTTTTCAAGTTTATTGTACAATCTGTATATTAGATACAAGAATATTTTTATTAAAGTCTTTAAGAATAATTTTGTACTATGAATCAGTTTTAACTGTATGCATCACAGCATAATGTGGTGGCCGTTGATTCCTTGCGTTCCTATATTCACAAATATATTTAGAGAGGGCTGTGTCTTATACTTAAAAATATTATGTCCACGAATTTCTTACCGGATTGAAAAAGAAAACTGGCAATGGTGAATGATTTTGAAGCGGCTTTAATAATCTCAATACTTTTTTTTATATCTTTCGTCACGATTTGTGGCATATTATATTCTGATGCCATGAATGCCCAGAATAATTGGCGAAAATATGTCCAACTAAAACTAAATCGTTGTTGATACTCCAATGTGTACGTTTCTATTATACCTCTGGCTTTATCGAAACTAGTGCCTCCCAAGACAATAATAACGTTTGATATGAAGAAAAATAATGCTTCTTCTAACGGCAAGTCTTCGATAACAAATATATTTAGCATTGTATTTTCACCAATATGCCAAATGTTTTCCTTGAGGGCCATTCGATCAACCCAACACAGGTACAACGTAGGAACCACGATCGCAAAAGAACACGGTATTATTTTTTTCACAAAAAAATTTCCTGCTCCATACCACATGAATATAACCACCGGAGATACCCACCATAGTATACATCCCAAGTAAAACGTTGCTTGTCCGGGGATGGTAATTATATAACCTACGATCGTGGCTATGGCCAAAAACGCAATCGGTATCCATCGAATCAATTGGTAGCTGTATTTGTCATAGTTGAAATTTAAACATGGAGTTGACCATCGGACACAGAGCAAAGCCCACAGCGATGTCAGAACGGTTTGTAAAATAAAAAACATATATTCTTCAATAGGTATATATCCAATAAAACCTAAGATTTTTTCGGGTGGATATGACCAGCCTTGGTTGTGAATGACATAATTGTCCCATGGTGTTGTATACACAAAAGCTATGGTACTTAATAATGTAATTTTAAATACTTCTGAGCGGTTAAGAAATGGTTGGGCGATTAATGACAATACGCCAATAACCGGAAGTGTATAAAATAAGTGGACATCTATGTAGGTTAACATTTAAACGTATTACAGAAAGCAAAAACTGAAACAATAAAAAAAAAAAAAAACTGTTAATATATTTAACCAAAAAACATATAAGTATACTGTTATCTAAATAACAAACAACCTATTTTAATGTAATTAATATACGATTCATTAACTTGAGTGATTTAGTTTCTTATTGGTTATTTATCAAATGTATTTCTTTATTATAAAAGGGAAATAATCATTTAATAATTTTCATCTGTAAGCTTTAATATTTTAAATCATTTACCTGATTACTGCTATGGTAAGCAAACTTTACAGTGATAATTCTAGTAATTCATCAAGAAAATAGACTTAAAATTTTCATTAACATTTATTTTAGCATTTTATAGTCGATATAATTTTCAAAATATTTTGGGTTTTAATTGTGTACTTAATTGACACTAATGAACGTTTTTAAACTTCTTTATTATTTACATAATTAAAATAAAGTTCCAAATCTTGAATTGATTCTGTTATGTAATTCTTCAAAGTCTATAATAAGTATGTTTAATTCATATTTAATACCAATTAGTCCTATAGAATTCTATTCTTATTAATAAGAAGGAAGATATATAGTTTGAAAAAAAAATTAAAAAAATATTAAGTTTGTGTTTATTTGTATATTTCAAAAAAATCAAAAATATACATAAATTAATTTTATACAATTACCATGCATATTCACATAAAATTAAGTCTGCATTTAAAATTTAGCAATAAAAATATCAAACTAATACTTTTATAATCTTTAACTAATATCCTAAAAATTTAAAAATTGGTGAAGCTGTATAATACTTAATTAAGAACGTATATCAGTTTATGAATTATTCAACATTAAATATATTATTTTAAATATTATCTATTTTATTTTATTTTTATGCTAAAACTTAATGACCTACATGTGATTTTGGAAAAATTATAGGTAATAATGTAATAGGCCATTGTATGATTAAATTAATTTTAATGTTGCTTTTTCTTACTTTTTACACGAGTAAAATATAATATCTTGTAAAATCATAAACACTATTATAGGTGTATTAAATTTGAATTTAATAATATATCATTGTAAAAAGAAAATAATTCTGAAAGGAAACGGTCTATCAGCCTATATCACCAAGTAATATACTACGTAATTGTATGTGTTCGAAAATTTTCTATTCATTATAATAAGTAGGTATTTAGATTTTATAATATACTATATATTTATACCTTATTAAATCAACTTATATAACTTAAAATTTAAAAAAAACCTATGTAAGTGCCTTTGTACTCACGAATGATGTGTAAACATCTTAGCTGCAGTACGACTTTGATTGGGGAATATAATGTCATTGTTTGAGTGAGAATTTGTATAAAAAGTAACAATAATCATACAAGATCGCGTTCTCTTTAAAATTTATATTTAACTTTTTTATTTTTATTTATATATTTTATTTTTTTATTATTATTATATATAATTTATATGTTTTATTTTTTTATTATTATTATATATAATTTATGTATATTATATATTATTATATATAATTAATTATGATATATATCGTTAGCCTATTTAGCAAACGGCGTAACTCCAAAAAATTAAAATTTCATTTTTTCATGTCATTCAATTGAAAAAAAAATGTGCGTCAATTGGTATCATAATCATATATTTAAGTGTGTTGTTTTCTTCCATGAAACCGGTGTTAATTGATACGCATTAGTCGTAACTCCGATAAACAAATAATATAATTTCTATAGAAACCGGCGTATCTAAATATATATAATATTATATATATTATATATTATATTATTATTTTATATTATGTATGTTAGGTAGCCTGCGCGAATACCGTGCACAATAGCCTCACACACACACACTCAAGCAGTCACATCTACATGACTTAGGCCTGACGCTCGATTCCCCAAGAAGGTCGTACTACAAACCAATAGCATAGATGTTTACACATCAAAAAAATTTTCTATAAATACTGAAAACAATAAAAATAGATTCAAAGTACCTATAAATAGATAATATTTAAAATAAATAAAAAATTTTATTGCGTATAGTAAAATTCATAAGAATATAAAATACATACAAGTTTAAGTTCCCGTGAATAATGTTTTTTAATTATAGTAAAATTAATAATATACTGTTATTTATCTTTATCTGTTATTTATTTATTTTTATTTATTTTTTTTTTTTTGGAACTCAAAATGTCTTTACATATTTTTCAGATTTCATGGTTACAATATGAATTACTTGTGAAGAATTTTGTATTAAATTTTCAAAACTTAGATATAAAAAGAAAAGTTTTTATGAATTTTTAGTTACAAAATAGTTTGTAATAACAAATTATGTCAAAGTTCTAACTTGAAATGTATATAAAAAATTTTTTTGTGCCTATTTATTTTTAATATTTTTGTACAAACATAAGAATATCTTTTTCTCGTATTTTGTATTAAATTAAAAAAATACGAAAATTCTGGAAAAACTGTAAGTATTTTTCCACTGAATAAATAACTTGATATACATACAATTTCGACTTATTTTAGTTATGACTAAACTACTTTATGACAACCCGTATGGTTACAACTCTATTACATTTCCAAAATTTCAGTATTATACTGCCGATAGAATTCATCACACTTGTAAAATTATATTTAATCTGAATTTACTTCTCCTCAAATTGAATATTCATGGCCAAGATCGTTAATAGATACAATAATCACCCAGAAATACGATTTTTTTCATTTTTACTTTGTTTAGAAATTTCAAATAGATTTTCATAGATTCATAAAACGATCACAAATAAGTTTATTAAAATTTAGACTGTACGTATGTTGAGTCAGCTAGTTTTAAACAAAAAATTAACAGGATTTATTTTTAAAATTTAAATTCAATTTTTAATGTATTTATTTTATGGTACGAACACGATTTATGAGTTTTATGGAATAAAATAATCATGAAGTATGACTTCAAATAAGCCATAAAAACATATTAGAGTATAGTTTCATTGTATAAATTTGTAATCGATAACAATAATAAATACAAAAATATATTATGTATTATAAAGCTTTTGTTTTTATTTTATTGATTCAAAAATGTACTTACCTTATATTTTTAATAAGTGTGATAAAAAAGGAAAAGGAATTTAAAATAACAAAATACAACAATCTACTCGTAGTAAAAAAATAATAACTATAATCATTAATTTCGTATAATATTTATACACTTCAGTGATAAACGATTGTATGCAATTAAATTTTATAAATTAAATTGTATTGGATATAAATGCTAACCAGGTTTCAGAAACTTCTTATGGAGGGGAAATTAATGTTTTCATATAAAATTATTGATAAAAAATTATTAGAAGCTAGATATACTTACTGAAGTAAACATATTATTTTTTATTGATGTATGCTTAAATTATGTTTATGAGTTACGTATATATATTTAAAGTTTTAATAAACTAAGTAGAATAATTTAAAGGTAATATTATGGGCTACGAGATATCAAGGATAAGTATTAGCATGACCATGACACGTGTCAGGGAGGTGCACATACTGTTAATGATCATAACACGGAATAGTAAATGCATATTATTATGAATCTCGTTTCATTAGGATTAGAATGCATTTTCGGGTGTAGTCATCTACTTTTCAACAACATATTTCCACATTGCAATTCGAATAAAATATTGTAATGCATTATTGAATGCGGATGCTCTTTTACAATAACAAGTACAAGGATATCTGCAAGACTTCGATAACAAGGCATCAAAATCATATACAGTAGACGCCGCTTATAACTTATAAGACTCACGAATATAAGGTTCAGTCGCTTATTAGACTCAAATTCATCTGGAACGGTCCGGACGTATCCAAATACATTAAAAAAAAATCGGTTATAAGACTCAAATTTCGTAAAATAAATAATAGAAAATAAACTTTTTTGGTTATAATTTAGAAATAAATTGGTATTAAAAAATTAAATAATATTCGTGTTGATTATTTCTAGTTTCTGTTGGTATCTTATAACGTATAATAATTTTTATCGCAGATAAAAGTTCACATTTATCGCAACGATAATTGTTATTATAGTGTACTGATTATCTGGCGGCTGCACAGTTATCGTAATATGTAATATTTACCTATTATAATTTTTTTTTTATCGGGATTATTAAATTTATTCAATAATAAAATTTATAAATACGTAATTATTTTTTTTTCCACTTCACCTATAAGACTCATTCGGTTATAAGACTCACTTTGTGCTGGTCCCAAAGTGAGTCTTATAAGCGGCGTCTACTGTATAAGGGAAGCCCAGAGAGCAACAACGGCAGATGTATCAGAGCTACAGAGACCTGAGCACCTTCACAACACTCAGCCACTTTTTGTATCAGTTACATGAACTTTATTAATACGTAATAAACACATTATTGTTCTTAAAAGTTGTAATTTTCATTTAAAATAACACCCTGGACTTCAATCTAATATTGGCGCGCAACAGTAACTCATCAAATATATTGGTTCACCATTTTCGCTTTACTAAACTTTAAATAGTTATAAGTTATATCTAATAAACTAACAAATGAAATACACAGATTTATATCCTGCTTCCGTACATAAAATTTAAAATATACATTATTTTTCAAAAAAATAAAAAATATCACTATTTTTAAAAAAAATTTGTTTTTTAAGAACAAATAACTATGAAAATAATATATTCAAAAACTTAAATAGTTTTTGAAATTATTAGTTTCTTACGTTAGATTTGTTACCCTATATATTCTATACAGATGAAAAATAATCCCGTACTGGCTGTACTATGATGAGCTTATAATACATTTAAAATCTTATACTCTTAATACATAAATTGTGTAATCTAATATTCTATTATAACAAAAAAATAATTATCGAAAAAAATTGTCGTTTTTAGCATTCCTGAAAGTTTCTGATCTCAGCATTATAGGGTTTTCCGGAAAACGGAAATAATTCTTCCCGAAAATTATCGGGAATCCGACTCTAGATTAGATAGCCACTACCCGTACCTAATATAATTATATTTTATAATAATATCTATAGGATCCGACATAATACAATATATAAAAAACACACTAATATATGTATTTATAGTGTGTTTATGTACTAATAACCATTGCGATTAGCGCATACACGCGCATGTAATATACCAATGTAAAAATTTAGTAAATGTATAAATATTAATAACAACAAATATAAATATGAAAACGCAGAAAATATTAAGAACACAATATAACAATATACCTACAGCCTACAGGATTTTACAATTAATATATTTACATTTCCCGTTTACAAAAATAAAATCTTCAGTGGGTTTTAATATGAGCTAAAACCGTTTGTTTTCGTGTTTATAAAATCGACAATTCATCGACAAAAAAAAAAATAAAAATATTTCTGTGTCACAAATTCTATGTTTTAAAATGTTATTATAAATTCTAGAACAAAATTATTTTTGTATAAAGATTATTTTTTTTTTTTAGTGTACTAGTATACATAATATGTGTGATTTTTCTATTAGGTTTTAAATATAACGTTTGTTGCAATTTAAATATCATGTAAAAAAAAAAGTAAGTACATACATATAAATGCATTTTAGATAACAATAATCTATTTAATCTTTTTTTCTTCGTCTTTAATCTCAACATTCTCAACTATATATGGGTCAACTATCTTTGTCATCCACCTCGCCTTTATTCACACCAGCTATTTTCTATCATCCATTTTGACGTTATATCAATCTCTTCATCGGTCTTCTCCTTCTATTTTCTTCTGCATTTATTTTAATAACTGCTGAGTCTCCTCTTCTCAAAGTATGACCAAATCATCTCAACCTATTCTAACTTATTTTGTCTACAGTTAGTGGCACTTCTACATTATGCCTAATTTTAGGTGATAATGATAAAAAATAAAATTTTAAAATAACTTACTTGATTATATAATAACTATTTTTATTTATATGTGGTCATTAATTACTCTTCTTAATTATATATTTTTTTAAATATATAAATTATTTCTTATTTTAATTGATTCATTACTTGTTGATCTAAAATAGGTAGTTAGGTATTACAGTTATATAAAATTTATATTCGTTTGATTAACCTCTTGGCAATTCATACTCATTATAATTTATAGGTATTGTATTAATGATAAATCTATTTATAAATGTATAATATTAGTAATATGTGTTATGCTACGTATACTATTTCCTATGTATTAATGAATATTATAAAATTATATAATTGTTTGAAATCTAAACTCATTAAAAGTATTTAATTTATATAATTTCCTATTATGTAACTAAGTTATTATTTTAATTGAATATAACAATTTATGATAAATATTATATAATAATACTATATTTTACATTTTTTATTGCTTAATGATAGATTGTATATTTTAAATTATTAAAAAAGTGATAAATGTATTAGTTTTACTATAATTAAGGCTGTGAATTAAATGCACTAAAAAACCTTAAAAAATGCATTAAAAATGCCAAAAAAGTTGCAAAAAAAAGAATACAAAATGCCAAAAATTATGGTATAAAATTCATTTAAAATGGTTTTTTAATTTAATTTTTATATTTATATTAATATTAAATATAGGATATTAAACATTAGTACAAAAAAGTGTTTATTTAATAAAAAAGTTGATTGAATCTGAATTAAGTTAATGCTATTCACCTGAAACGTTTTTTGTATTTATTTTGTTAAGATAATAACTTACTAAACTAAAATGAACTAAAAAAGCAAAATATGACCTAAAAAATTAAAAACATCAAAAAATTCAAATATATGCAAAATAAAAGTTTCATAGATGGATTCGTAATTACATAATTCAAATTATGTATTTACAAAGCTATGTTTTACAATCAACAAAAAAAAAATACACTTTTCTATAAATTCACAGCCCTGACTATAATATATGTTTTTTTTTAATTTATGATCAATTTCTAACTGTAATTACTTTAAGAAAATTGAATTATTACTTTTGGGAAAGATGGAAGAAGATCAAATTTAAAAGAAAAGCGGCTAATTTAATGTTACTTATGCTTGTTAATAGCTTAAAATATAAAAAGACAACGTAGTGTAGTACTTAAAATTGATTTTACTGCACGAAAAAACAACTAATCATAATAAATATGTGTATATACTCGTAGGTATATACCTATATAAACATAATTCGTTCGTTGTTAAGGGTATTATTACTAAAATTTGAACTAAAAAATAATAATAAAGAGTATTATCTCATGTAAATTGGATTAGTGACCAAAAATAAGTATTTGTAGTTATTTGTTATTTAATTATAAAAAAATAAAAAAAATCAATTCAGTCAAAATCTGGTTTAACATGAAAATGTTCAGTTTTTCTTCATTATGTTTTTGTAAAACAATTAGCATGTAATTTGAATGAATTTGCATGACTATTGGCGAAATCTACATGTCAATTTTGCATCTCAAATGGCAAAAACTGTTGGGCGATTTGGAGAGATATCTCTAAAATTAAAATTATTTATATTAAGAAATTGTTATGCCAAAATTGTAATAATTAGAAAAGGGCTTAAAAATATATAGTATTACATGTTACCTTTTTCTTCTTTCTGACAATTTTTTCTCTATTAATGTCTTGAAGGTAACCGGTATGCGTTAAGAAATTACAACACTTATTTTATTTGACTAAACTCATTAACTTTATTATAAAACTTTTAATACATGATAATTTATATTTAATTTTTACTATTAACAATCTTCAATGTTTATGTCTCTTTGTATATACGATCTGCATAGTCTTTTATTCTCGCTTATGATCGTCTATACAAAAAGACAATAAGGATACTGTGAAAGTGACCGGCGGTGACCGGTCCTTTTATAATTAATATCCTGTGTGTGTATATGTTTTATTTATTATTCTTATGATCCGACTATAGGCATTTTATTATATTGTAATTAAATATTTGATTTTTGTCGTAAATTATTATATTAATAAATGACTTATAGCTAAAGGTCATAATTGTTTATTTTATTATACAGTAATCAAATATTTGATTTTTGTCGTAAATGATTATATTAATAAATGACTTATAGCTAAAAATCATAATTATTTATTTTATTATACAGTATATAAATATTTAATTATGATTGCTTGGAAGCACATCATTACATCCACCCCAGCCTTTTTGTGATGTGTCCTCGCATCATAACATATAAATCTAAAATATAAAAGTTATACAATTAAGATTAATAATGTATATTGAAATAATAAATTTTTTTTTTATTTGTACATTTATAATATAAAATTGGAATTAATGGATATAATATAATAAAGCATAATAATGATATTACTAATATGGATTAACTATATTTTTTTTTTTTACATTTATAATATAATGTAGTGATTATGTTTAAAGTTGATTATGTTTCTTGGGTCCATGCATATATGACTGTTTAATTGGGTTTTGATTTATTTATATAGATAATTTTCTGGTGTTTGAGTATAGATTCTTTTGTTTTGAGTTTATGATTGATATATATAAATATTTAATTATGATTGCTTGGAAGCACATCATTACAAAATGTAGCTCATGATTAACATGACTATCGCAGGGATTCACGCGTATCATAATGGCGAGCAAAAACTATATATCTACCGAATTATATTCCAATGTTAATATTATTTTATTTTTATAAATTCAATTTTCTTACCAAAAACAAAAAAAAAAAATGTAAAATTTTTAAAGGAGTGGTGTTGACGAGACTTATGTAACTTAACAAATTTAATATGTTGTTCATTAACGAGGTACACTTGATATTTACTGTAAGGTAGGAAAACATCAAAGAGTTAAACAATAATTAACTTTTAACCTCATTAAATTGTCTTCATATTAAATGCGATATTATTTTTTCAATAAAATTAAACCAATTATTAAAAAATATTTATTACATTATATTTTTAATTTATTACTAAAATAATATAACCACAAAACACCGAATAACCTGCTAAATATTTCTATATTATTCCGTTAAAAACTTGAAAAAAATCGATTTGATATTTAGTATGTTGTATGGTAGTGATTGAAGAGAGAATAGTGATGTTCAGTCGCTTTATGGTATATATGTTTATACAAACACAAAATACATTTTACATTTAGAAAAAATAAGTTAAATTCTATCACGATTCCTTATACTTTTTAATAAGATACAATATTACTTCTTCAATAGTTTTATGAAAGTATTTAATTATTTTGAACATAACTTCTTTCATCCAAAAATAACCTTCTTCTTTTCGCCAACAGTTTTACGTTCGAAATTTTGGAAAGCGCCATCTCAAAATTAGTTTACTAAAGCCATTTAGCATAATCCATAGAGCACCACGAGGAGACGGCTTCTATTAATCTCCAAAAATGTATTAAGTAAGTAGTAACTAAAATAATAATAATATAATTAAAACCAAATACTAAAATTTATACCTACAATATCATCTACAATATTATTAGGTACCTATAATTTGATCGAATTGTTTGTTATTTCATAATATATCAATATCACTACTTTTATCACGTTTTAAGAGTAAATATTTGTTTATACGTATAAAAAAATAAATACCTAATACATACACATTATTGTTGAAATTATTTATTGAAATTAATTTATCTGTAATAATAAAGTTACATAAGTAGTAATTTATCATATACTTGTAAAGAGACACTAGCTGATGTAATAAAAAAAAAAAACATTTAAATAAGTCAGTAATATGTTTTTTTTTATTTGAGTGTTAGATCTGTCACTACTTGACCACTTCGTAAAGATTTCAAGGTATTTTATAATTTATTATAGACTATAGTACTAATGTCATACATTTTTCGAACTACTATCGTACCTATTGATAAAACCACCACCCCAACAACGTGTATTAATATATTATTACTATTAGATGACTGCAAATTATTTTTATAAAACATTTAAAATATATTTAAATGGTTAAATATGTATATATTTATATTTTAATTTATAAAATATTGTTAAATATTTTTGAAAAACCTCGATAATATATTTTTAAAACAAGTAACAACAATATTAGTAAACTATTTTTATTTTTTTTTTAATTAAATAAAAATATTTGTAAAATATATATTATATATCTGAAAACATTTTTTTCTTTTGATGAGAAAATGTATTAAAAATATTGTCATTTTCTCATTGCACATAATATAGGTAACCATGGTTATATATTTTAATATTTGTTTAGCCTTGAACGTAACCAAGTATGGTTGTTGGCTTTTGTTTGTTATTAGCCATTATGTTACATTTATTAAAAAAATATAACAATAATACACAACATTTATTCATAAATATAACCGATATTCGAGGCGGCCGTGATGCTTATACGAGACTATACGAGACTATAAGATTATATGCCACTCTCTGGTTATCAAAATTATAATATCTGATAATGAAATTCAATTACGCACATAACATACCGCCCGCCTTGAAATACTATTTAAAATCTACAGCTGACAATTAATTAATAACATATAAATAATGAGTTCAATGACTCGGTGAATATACATATATAAATATTGACATTAGTGTATAAGATATAACAAAATAGAAACAAATAATAATAATTATAATAACAAATAATAATATAAATTTTAAATTTAAATGAATCGTATGTAATCACAATATTATACGTGGACAATTACAAGAACAAAACGAAAAGATTACAATTAACATGATAATTTATCGAACTGCTCATCTTTGACCTTCTCCATTACCCTCGAATGGTATAAGTGGCACAAATTTCGCACCACTCGCTTTCATTGACCGTGACTCGTGCGGACAACAGCTACTCTCACTAGGTATTTCATTCGGGTGCGAGTGTGTTTCGATTACTCGACCGACTTTCCAATGTAACGTGGAGAGATTATCATCTCGGAATAGTACGATTGTGTCAATAACGAGGTTCAGACCTTTGGACCGGCACCATTTTCCCTTTGCTTGCAACGTACCTACTCAAGTACTCGCGCTGCCATCGGTGTCAGAACTGAGCAGACAGAACGATAATGTAAAAACGTCAACTGTTGATCTAAGGATTGAGATTGAAACCGAAAAAGCGTTTCAGCCTCCACTTCGGCATATTGCTTAAAGTTACATGACCAAATAATAACTTATAATCCATTTAATGGCGAAGTAAGAACAATGTAAATATTTGTTGTAAAACTTAATATAATTTCAATGAATAAAAAATAATTATTATATATATATATATCATGTCTTTATTTCACATAAATTATTAATACAGCTGTACTTAGAAGAAAATACAATAGATAAATGACTCGGATCGGGGGGGATGGGTACAAATGTTGGTCGCTCTACAATTTCTTTGAGATCCACTAAAACATCAGGCTTTTTAGCACAACCTGACATGATAAAATATGTTAAGATTAAACAATTAAAAATAATTCGTACAATTTCATACAAAATTACATACATTTTTTTATTGGCCTTGCTAAGAAAAGCAACATCAAAGTAAGTCCAAATGATAATATTAAAATTAATATTATAATCCCTGGTTGTTCTGATTTTTTTTGTATTCATCGGTCATCCTACAAATTATAATTAGGCGCTTTATGATTCCCCCACCAAAGCCAGTTGCAGATTGTTGGTTTCTAAGAAACGGTTGTTGATCAATGTCATTAGATATTATTAAATTAATTTTAAAACCATCAATCGGAAAAATAGTATGTTAGTATTTTTGATCAGAAATATAATAATCTTCTCCCATTAATTCAAAACCATTTGACCAGTAAAATAATTCATTGACATATAATAGAGTAATTGCATCATTAAAAAGCACTCCTTGTGTGTTATTTTTAATATTGATCACATCTTTACTGTATTAGACCAACATAAGATAGTCAATATTTATCAAATGTAATGATATATCATAGGATATACAGTGAAAGTTGCTTATTAGACTCAAAATTGTCTAAATGTATCCAAATTCATTAAAAAAAAATTGGTTATAAGACTCACCACATAGGTTAAAGACTCAAATTTTGTAAAAAAAAAAAAAATGGTAAAAATAAATTCTTTTGGTTAGGTAAGGTTAAAATATGAATAAAATTTAGAAATAAATTGGTTTTGAAAAGTCACATAGGTAGTTATATTTTATGTTGATTATTCATGCTTTATAATGTTTATATATGTAGAACAAATTTTATCGTAATAATTATTATTATTGTAGTGTGAGCTGTGAGGTAAAAACACAATAAGTGCATCATAATATAAATGCAAAATTAAAATATTAAACTTCATTATCTTATTTAATTTATTTAACAATATATAATATGTATTAAAGTAGATTTAAGTAAAAAAATTGTAGTAAAATAAAATTAATAAATAATTAAAAATATTGTTTTTTCGGTTAAAGTGAGTCTCATGAGCGACGTTCACTGTATCATATCATTAGTTAGATTATTTTTAAAAACTTACCAATCAAAAGGCACAGATATTATTGTGTGATCTTTACTGAGTAGGTAATACCAACAAACGTGACTTAAAATGATTAATTAAAAATGGAACAATATCTTCTTTTTTTAAATTAATATGTTTGTATTTTCAATGTTGATGTAATTTCTTTTTTTATCTAAGTCTAAACGATACAATCCTATTTGTGTGCTCCAAAACAAAAGTTAAAAATATTCAATTCCAAAAAAATGTGTATTTTCATGTTTAACAACCGACCAAAACACAGAATTCAAATCGCAGGGCTCTACACAAATTTATTAAGTGTTCTCAATTAGCGTTTACACACTGTATATACACATATTTTAAATAGTAATAATATTAATATTTATAGTGTTATAGATAATTAACAAAATGGTGATTAAGATTATCATCATCGGGGCCGGAGTTGGTGGTACAGCAGCTGCTGCTAGACTTAGCAAAAAAGGATTTCAAGTAGAGATTTATGAAAAAAATGCATATAACGGTGGAAGATGTTCGCTCATTTATCAAAACGGACATCGATTTGATCAAGGACCGTCGTTGTATTTGATGCCTAAAATATTTGAAGAGACATTTGAAGATCTGGGAGAGGACATTAAAAATCACATAGAATTATTGAAGTGTCCTTCTAATTACAGCGTACATTTTCACGACGGTAAAACATTCGAACTCACCACAGATATATCTAAATTATCTCGTTCTTTGGAAAAATACGAAGGTAATGGTGAATCGACTTTAATTAATTTTTTGAGCTATTTAAAGGAAACTCACGTGCACTATCAAAGGAGCGTTAAAGTTGCACTCAAGACCGATTTCCAACATTGGTATGATTTTTTCAATCCAAAACATTTACCAGACGTAATACAGCTGCATCTGTTGGACACTGTTTACAACAGAGTTTGTAAATATTTCAAAAGCGACTACATGAGACGGGCGTTTTCATTCCAGACTATGTACTTGGGGTAAATAGAAAAATATTTTATACATTAAAAAAAAAATAATAATAATAATAAGACTGTGTTTATGTTTTTTAGAATGTCGCCATACGACGGTTTAGCACCTTATAGTTTACTGCAGTACACTGAAATAGCCGAAGGAATTTGGTACCCGAAAGGAGGTTTTAACAAAGTCTTACAAAGTCTGGAAAACATTGCCGTACGACATGGAGCCAAGTTCAATTATAACGCCGATGTCCAAGAAATAATAGTCGATGACAACGGAGTGGCGAAAGGAATCAAACTGGCAAACGGCGATGTAGTAAATAGTGACATTGTAATTTGTAATGCAGATCTCATATACGCGTACAACAAACTTTTACCAAAGACGTCGTACGCTGAAAAGCTCGGCAAAAAAGAACTTACTTCTTCTTCGATATCATTCTATTGGTCCATGAAAACAATTGTGTCTCAATTGGAAGTGCACAACATATTTTTGGCCGAAAAATATAAACAAAGTTTCGATCAAATATTCAAGGATCATACGTTGCCCGACGAACCGTCGTTTTATGTTAACGTACCTAGTCGCATTGACCCGACAGCAGCGCCAGAAGGAAAAGACACGGTCGTAGTTCTAGTACCAGTGGGACATTTATCAAATTTACCAAACATTGATTTCGATCAACTCGTGAAGAAGGCTAGGGAACAAGTAATCGACACAATAGAAAAGAGATTAAAGATATCGAACTTCAGAAGCATGATCGACCACGAGATAGTGAATGATCCGAGAACGTGGCAAAACGAATTCAATTTATGGAAAGGATCTATACTGGGATTATCTCACTCATTGTTTCAGGTTTTATGGTTCAGACCCAGTTTGAAATGTAAAATATTTGAAAACTTGTACTTTGTTGGTGCTTCGGCACAGCCTGGTACTGGTGTACCAATAGTTTTGTGTGGTGCAAAAATGCTAGAGAAACAATTGTGTGATAGATTTTTAGAGGGCAAAGTAGAAATTGACATAGGGTCGAAGTGTGTTTCATTTTTAATCGGTCTCCTAGCACTTCTGATTTTTTGGTTTTTTTTTTAGATTTTAATAATGATTGTTATTTGAATTATGTGTATATATTTTAAGCCTTTATCATTTTATTTTTGTAATACTCTTAAAAAATGTTAAAAGCTCTATTTTTTCTTTTTTTCTTTATTATAGCTTTAAGTAACAATTAATATAACTCGACAATTATATAATGTTAAAAGCTTTATTTTTATAGCATAATATATTTAAATGTTTTATAATAAATAATATTGATGTATTTTTTAGGTACCTATACTGTTATTAGTACAGAAATAAATATTAAATAACTAATATGTAGGTACTACCTACTTAAAAATAAATAGGTATTATAATATTAAAACATTTAATATACCTAGCAAAATATTAATTATACATCTTTGCATGTATAAATGTTTCAGCTAAAATTAAAACTTTTTAATTTATTTAAATTTGAAATGACATTTAATTTTTTTTTAAGGCTTTTAACTATCTTCCTCATTTGATGCAATTTTAAAATTATTAAACTAGGTATATGGTTTTTCTTTGCATATAAAATTCAATAACATATTTATTATGTATTTTAATTTACATACAAAAAGTATTGTTTAAACTTTTAAAATGTATAAAAACAATAAATTTTATCAAATTTTACTACACAGTGAAAAATAATAATAGCTGTTTAAAAAATGTTTGTAACTAATTATAAAATTAAAATGCGTCTTGTTTGAATGGAGTTTGATGCTTTAAGATTTATTGTTGTTAGTATAGAATATCTGATTATAATGAAATAGATAGTACTGTGGAAATTTGTCATAACACTCATAACAATATGTCAAAACAGTGATCTAGAATTTTGTCAAGAGGGGGATAAATGTTTTCATTTTTTATGATAGGGGTTTGTAAATTTACCATCATCGCTGTTTCTCGACAATTTTTAGAATTAGTGCCTATTCATATATTATTTATAAAATTATTTTATTTAAACAAAAGTAGTGTTAAATTAAATCTAAAATAAATCTCTATAGGTATTATTTATACTCATATTAAACATTATAACACTATAATTATAACACAAAATCTAACTTTCTAATCTTCAAACTAAGTTTATCAATAACCTCTACCAATTTTAAAAAATTTTTAGCATCTTTTTTCGGCTATTTTAAGAGATTATTCCGACCTCTAATAATAATACAGAAAGAAATGATTGTTGTTAACTGGTACCAAAGTCTTGATTATTAATACTAAATTATCATCAATGTGAACTGCTTATTTTATCGACATGGATAAATAAATAAAAATGTATTCTTATATTAATTTATAATTAAACTTTAAAGAAGGAATATAAATGTATAACCAATAATACTCTGTCCTGTATTATAAGAGTAACTTCTGGTGGCACCTTTCTTCAAGTTGAATTGTTTAAATCAGTTTTTGTCACTAGTTTTCATTCCAAATGGATGTAGCAGAAAAATTATGTTACTATGTTAATCCTAGCTAAATGTACATTATTGGAATAATTAAGTAACAGTTCCAAAAGTAAGTCTATACACATTACCAACACTCATTGCCAGTACTAGTAACCAGTTAACTGGGAATTTTCTTACAGTATAGTATTTATACTAGTGGTGCCCAACCCGCGGTCTGCGGGCCACATGTGGCCCGCGAAGGTATTCTATATGCCCTGTTACAATTTTTTAAATAGGTAAAACAAAATATTCTAAAAAAGTAAAATTATATTTATTTATTTATTTTGTAATTATATAATATTAATAATAATAATAATAAAATAAAAAAATGTTTAATGTGCAATTTGAACTTGAGTTTGCTTTCTAATAATGAAAAATCTGGTTCGAATTATGTATATTAAGATTGGGATTATTCATATTTTTATATTTGGTGGCCCACTCAAACATGATTGTTTATCAAAGTGGCATGCCGAACAAATAAGGTTGGCCAGGTTGGGCATCACTGATTTATACTAATTTCATGAGACATACAATAGTTTATTAAAATAGTTAATAGATACACTACATTTACATGGAAATACCTACCAAAATACTTCTGGTTAAACAATGGTGCATCAAAATGTATTTTTTATTGAAATAATAATAAGAAAAGTCAATAATATTTGTTATTAAAAATGTTTATCTTAAAATGAATGTATTTCATACATTACATTATCATTATAGAAATTAAATATTACTAACTTATTGAGTTTTCAGTTAGTATGCTGTTTTAATTTCAGTCTTATACCACGCACATATTAAAAAAGAAATAAATTCATTTTACACATACTAAGGATAAAAGTAATACAATTAACGTTTAACTCGTTTTCAGTTTTTATTTAACCAGAACAACCTCTACATCCACAATGCACACATTCCACAATTCGACCCTGAAAAATAAAATGCTAAAGTAAATACCTAATATGTTTATTTTAAAACTTATCATTATTAAACAATTACTTCTTCAAGTTTAGATTTTGGGACTCTGCAAATACAGCTAGTACCAAAATTTGTATCCCTTGTTTGAATACAGCGAAGACAACATAAGTTTTCATAACCTTGTTTTTTCCATTTTGCTATTAAATTTTGATCAGCAATTTTTTCTTGCAAACAGAAATCATACAATTCTATAACAAAAAAAAAAGTCAATAATAATTTAAATAAGGCTTTTATTATTTTATATCAAAAATATTATGCATACAATTGTATACAGTAAAAATACAAACTTTTAGTTATTAAATTAAAAATAATTCAATACTCAATTATTTGTTCAAACAACAATAGTTAGTCAGAATAAAAAAATCATATTTTAACTAAAGTAATGTAATACATATAATATATAATCTATGAACTTGAGATTGTGAAACAATTTTTTTTCATTAAACAGCAATAATACAGAACTTTGTTTAAGTTATTTAATTTAAAACCTTCCCTAAAATTGATACTGTTTCTAAAAAAATTGAAAATGTGTATATGTTATAGGTATACATATTTAACAAATGTAGTACTAAAACCACAATGAAAACGAAAAATGTTTCCTTCAAAAACATTTCACAGTATTTTTGCTTGCAATTCAGATTTAAAAGAAATCAAATTATAATAATAATTATAAATGTATTATAACTAAAAATGTAATACCAACATACCTCTAGAAATAGCTTTACGCCTATGAAATAAATCATAAATATATCTTGATTTCTGGTTATGAATTTTGAAAATTGGCCACAGCGCCTCAACTTTTCGTTTTCCTTCATGAGATTCAGTTTCAGCTAAAAATCACATAATATAATATTAGTATATAATTTTTATAATGTTGTAGTATGTACCAACAAATTAATACTAAAAGTAATTAATTATTTTAAATCAATATTAACTATGGGGACAAAAAGTTAAATAATTTAATTTTTATTGATTAACACTGGATTAAAAAAATAGAATTTTGTGCAACTTGGCTTAGTTTCATTATTTAAATATGTACCTGGATATTTAGGCAGCCATTTAATAAAAGTTATCAGGTATTGCTGACATAAGTTATGTTCAATTAAATACACTAAAATGATGATGCACTTTGGTAGTTTTTTTTCTTAGACACATCACTATACAAACTATACAAAATTATTCCAGTCCAGCAAAATTAAAATATACTTTATGATACCTCCAAACCTCATCATCAATTTTTTGACATAGTAAACATGTAAAAATGCATATAACTAAAGCACAGATTTGTATGCACTAAAAAGTATCAGTATATATTATGTAATAGGTAGTAAAAATCATTAAAATATGCAACAAACACGCAATGAAAAAAAAATGTATATGGAACAAAGAATACATAAATATTTTTGTTTAAAAATAAAACAAAATAGGTATAAGTACACAAAATGTGTTTTTATTATTTATTATAAAAATACCATAGGATTTCTCTGACCATTTCTAATGTATATATATTACATATAAATGTATAATACGTATTTAAAATTAAAGTAGCTAAAGCTTATTCACTACTTTAGCATCTATCGACAGAATTTTTTTCATAACAGCACATGCATTGAAGTATGCTATGAATATGCATTAAAGGTCTAATATTCAAAAATACCCAAAATAAAAACTTGGTGGTGAATTCCTATTAGTATAATTCATTAAGACTATTAACAAAAAATTTAAAAAGGAAAAATATATGCAAAACCATACAAATCCAAGTTCAAATCATAACAATAATCCCATGTTATTTATATTATATACCTAAAATAAACATTTAGAATAAAAGAATTTAAACATTATCATAATGTACAAATGCATTGCTTTCATTGTACCTGACAATTTATTTTGAATTCAGAGAACTGGTGATTATTTATTAAAAAGCTTAAGTATTTAGTATCAACCTATAAATCATTTTTAAATGCAAGATAATTCTGAGTTTTATACTGACAAAAATATCCACAAATGTTGGACATATACATTTAAACACTTTCAAGTAGATTATCTATACCAATACAAATACAATTTTATTGTACTAAACAACATTTTATTTATATAATCAAACGATAAGTATATCATTTTTACCTTGTGCATCTTTACTAGTTTACCTAAGCTGTAAGCCATGAGAGAAATTGATTAGCTACTTATTGTTCTGTCGAGTGTTAAAAATGTGTACTGTACCAAACACAAAATCATGAGCACGTCTATGAACTTTATTTATTACATATCAATTTTGTAGAATAAGTCTATACCTATCTATAATTTTATGCTCATACTTCAATAGTATTTTTATTAGTCTCCACAGAACATTATGATGGACGACGTTGCAATATTAACTAAACAATCAAGTATTTTATGAGCAACCAAAAACTTTTCGTACCTACCTTCTCTCATTTTCTGTTCCAATTCTTCTAGCGTAGGTTCTATAAGTTCCCACCCATCCGGAGGAGGTTTCCGACTTCTACGAACTTTCGGCATACGAAGTAGTTATTAACACTAAGTCAATTAGTGCACTAAGCACTAACACTAAACACACTACACAATACTTTAACTCTTAAGTTTTAACAGTACACACTAGGACCAGACAGTTGGTCTAAGATTTAAGTATCAAACTATCAAATATCAAATATCAATGGACAATAAATGTTTTCCGGTTTTCCATAGATAATAAAGAAATGCAAGGATCCAACCAATAATCCAGTGTAGCCAGTACGCGTTTAAACGTTATATAACGTTACTATTGTTAATTCTCCTTAAAAGCGCGAACCAGGAAGTGATAAAGAGAAGATAACCGACAGTGTTGATGTAATTGGTAATGTGACCAACTACTACTGAGTACAGTGAGAATAATATAAAATACTATATAATAATTAATAATTATTAAGTATTTAATCCCACAAGCTAGTAGCTACAACTTTACTTTCTCGACAACAGCAACAACTGCTGTACAGCCGTCTGCCGTTATGATTTTAAAAAAACATTAGTTTGAAAATTATGTACCAACTGCTAAGATAAACTGGATAGGTTATAAGTTATAACCTATAACTATAACTAATATATAAGTTATAACTTATAACAACCGCTGGGCGCTGACTTTAAGTTATTCTATATAATGGTAATATTTTACATAGTGTAGTTTAAAAAAACATTGAAACCAATTAATAATAAATTAACTGTATTTATATGACATAGGTAGGATCATAAACTTAAATAATTGAGGGTGTTTTACTCGGTAACTCAAGCACAAAAAATTATAATTGCTATAGAAACTTTTATTTAATAAAAAATATTTATAATGATTCACTTTTTACTACTCTTTTACTATGTAAAATAGTGGCACAACCAGGATTTATTCAAGGAGGGGGTTCAAAAAATGTATTTATTTACTTTTTTCTATTATTTTCTTAAATAATACATACGTTTTATCGTTTAATAAACAAAATTATATTATTTAATATACATATTTTTACATTTTTAAATTTATAATTACAATGTATGTTAATTAATTGTTAAAGTTATGGTATTGGTATAGTCATTAGACATTAGTCTTAATATTGATTTTATCTACACATCAAATTCGATGTGTTATTAACAAAATACCAAATCTAATCAATAATATTTGATGAAAATTTCAGGGTAACTTTAAAAAATGAAAATAAATACTATGACATAAGCCGGGAGGAGGGTTCAAACCTGGGGTCCACCCCTCTGAATTCGCCACTGATGTAAAATAATATTATATAATGAGTATAGTAAAAAATAGGATTTATTTTTGACAATAAATTAATTTAATCTACTATAGAAATTAACACGTATTAGGTATAGGTAGTAGGTACTAATAGTAATTTATTTATATCCAAATAGTCAAAAGTGAAAAGGTACACTTATAAAATAATGTATACTATTATAAATTTATAAAATATCTTTAGAAATATATGTTAACAGCTTTCACTCGACATCTTATATCAATACTATAAATATAATTCAATCTCTGTAAGTCCTGAACCCAACTTTTACTTGGTATGCATGTTGCGTGTATAGTGTACTTATATCGTGTAATTTATAATTTATTAATTTATAATATGCTGATATATGGTTATCTAGTGCCTAGTACTTTCATCAATATTAGTTAATTTATGTATAGTATAAAAATATAAAATATTAGTGAAGGTAATATATAAAGGCATTGAGTGACGGCAAGAGAAAAATGTTGACAATGACGACGATATTATAACATTTTTTTAGACGAGCGTAACGAGCGGCTTCAATATAAATATAGGTAACTACATACCTATAAAATTTAGATTATATTTGAAATATTAATAAAAATGTAAAATAATTTAGCCGTTATCCTCCCCCACTCAAAAATTTTAATGAATTAACTCATAACTACAGCATATGAATACACATTAATGATCAAAATAATAAATAGAAGTAATTTATCCCATGCGACTGAGTCTCGGAACTATAATCTGAGTGTCATATTACGAGTTAAAGTCGTAACGTCATAATCTGGTTATTTTGTTTATATCTACTGATTCAGACACATGAGATGGTGAATGTACAGTGTACAATGTACATACTAAATAATAAATAATACTAATTAGTAATTACTAACACATGCCTGTTGTATTCAACTGTTTACTTAAATTAGCCTCCGGGAAAAACTCCATAAGTGGATGATATTGACCTCCGTCTTAATTGTATTACTTAATAGATGAAGAATGTAGATCAATACATATTTAAAACCAGTTTGCTAAAAATAGTTACCTAGTCTATAGACTATAAGTAATAATTTATAATCGATTATAATTTATATCTTATCTTATTTAAAAATGTGCATCAACTGCTGATGTATGGTGATTGTTAGTGACATTAAGTGATATTTTAATTTTTATGTTTTAAATCTACTGTAAGTCTGTGAAAAAAAATAAAATATTTTCAATAAAATTTACCACAAAAAAAATGTTTAGCAATTAATGTACCCACTATGGAGGTAGATTGTTTTTTAGAGACCAATATTGTCTGTTTACTGTGTTTACTGATTAAGTTTTGGCCAATGTTGGAAGTCCCCTTACCTCCCCCTAAAATAATTTTAAGAAAAATATATTCGTAAGACTTTTTGTTTAGTCAATTAGGTACCTTTACTAATATTAAAATTTAACGTAAATATAATTTTTTACGTACCAATTCAAATATTACAATAAATTGTCTACTTGATAGGTATTTTCCCATTTTAGATGTAGAAATATAAAAAGTAGGTAAAATTATTTATTTTTTTTGTAAATGATGTAAGAATATAACCAATACCGGTATAAACATGCTACATGCACGAGTCGTGCTAGGAATTTTACTTATTTTAATTATGAAATTCTACAAAATAAAAGAAACGCTTTATACGTACTTCTTACTTGTGTTTATTCAACAACAATTAACATTTTAAAAGTGCATCGGGCGCAAAAATTAGAATTATGGCCTTGACAACACGCATAAATTTATGTATTATGTATCTATTGTATCTACTTAATCGTAATAACGAATTAAGTATAAACTTACAATCGAGTAACGCATGTGCTGTTCGTGTATACCGTATGTACTACGATTTAACAAGTAACAACTGTCAACTATAATACCATATTATTATGTAGCTCGACCGGCGTGTGACCGGCGACCGCTGAAATAGTGAATACCAAATGGCAAATAGTAAATACCAATCGGCCTCGTGGTCAACTCAAATACTCGAACGACAAGCAAGCTGTTTATTAGCCGTGCAACACTGCAGCGGTAGTCGTGCCGACACTTCGACAATCGTTGCTCGAGTTCGTGACCGAAGACCATTGACCACCGAGCGCGAAAATATGTTTACCGCGTGACGTAACGACCACCGATTGGAGGACCGTGTGATCGTCTGCGGCTCGCGCGGAATTCCACATGCCGACGGCGTGCACCACGTCACACACTCGGCTGCGGATCCGCCCGTCGCGCTGGCCAATATTACTATTATATTTTCCTCCTTTTTTTCGCCTCCATGCTCCGCCCCGTCGGCTGACTAGGGTTCCCCGATCCCGCGCCACTGCCATCGACACGTAACCGTACACCGATACACCCCCCACCAGTGACGCGCGCACTTAGGTTATCCGCATGTAATGTACATACTGTACGTCTGTATCGACGACGATAGCGCAAACGAGCGTGTTTTCCACGACCGTCTAGACCTCGTCCGTCGCCGCCCGTCTGCGCGAACATTGTAATCGAATTTACATTAATACTATATCTATCGGTTATTATTATTACCTATTATCGTCTAAAAATAAAAATCGAAATCCGACGAACATACCTCAATACGACGCGGGAATAATAATAACAATAATCGTATTCGTGATAACGCGAGTGACATCAGCCACGAGTTCGACAAGGATATCCATATTTAATATCGTACGGATTATAGAACACCACCGTTGTTCAGCAAAGATACCGCGTAAATCCACATGCACGTTAAGATTAAACAACTGTTTACGCACGTACACGATACCGTCTGAACGTTAATAAGTGTGCGCAGCTCGGTGTGACGTTTTGTCTGTAAAATTATTTCCGTTCGACTCGCGGTCAAATTCACGTTCACACGCTTCCGCTGCCGAAAGTGTTTTTGTGTTGTCGAGTGCGAGTGTACTCTACAGCAGGCTGCTGTCGTTTGATCGTTCGACCGCCGTCTACATGGTTTGCGTGCGTGTCGTCGATAGTCGTGGCGCCAAAAAGCCAATCGTCGTTCTCGTCGTACCCCTTTTGGTTCGGTGGCGTACCTTACAATAATAATAATATTATACAAAACACGTCAATGAGTGAGTAAACTACCCTTAAATTTTGTCTTATCGTATCTATATACCTATGCTGTAAAAGTATCTGTATCTATCTACCTACTTTGATGGTGTAAGCTGAAATAATCTTAAAAAAAACAGATGGTAGGTAGGTAGATGCCTACCCACATGTCTGGTGAATGTTTTACTCTAGAATAAGAAATTCCTAAGACTATAATATAACTTTGAAGGGTCTTGAATGTTGACTATATGCATTTTAATTGTACCTACACAAATTTAAAAATCATATCCATCATAATATAAATTCTTTGGAGTATTGATTCCAATTCATTGTGTTTAAAACACTTTGAAATAAGTTAAATAGGTAGTTAGTATTGATAAAAAGTTTTAGTATCATAAATTAGCGAGTAAATTAGTTAAAGTTAAAATCATGGTTGTATAATGTTTACCTACATTATTTACATTGGCATAAAATATAATACCGAGTATAATACCTAGAATACTTGCATTCCATTGGATAGTACTTGTATTGCACAACATGTTGTGTTCAATGCATTTTTTAAATCTATACATAATACAGCACAGCTGATATCACGACTACCTACGTAGTTCTGTTGAATGACAATACAATACCTACCTACTTTCATTCTATCATTACTTTTTAAATTGATATTAGCTTGTGATATTTAGGTTAGTTGGTTTAAACACTGTAAACTATAGTTGTTAATTAACTATTTTTTAATACCGGTTTGCTTGGAATATTTTAAACTTAGTCATTTGTCCAAAATACTTATCATGATATAATTTGTTATTTTATATTTGATAATATAAACTTAATCTCTATTAGCTTGATGAAAAAAAGAATTCGGTGGTAGATAATTATACAACTTTTTAGCTTATTCGAAATATCTAGTTACTTGATATTAAAAGAAACCTATTTATAACTCCTATTTAATAAAAAACTAAAAAGATACAACTGCTTGAATAATTTGGAAGAAATATTTTTGAAAGGTAGGTAGGTAGTCTCAAAAATATTCATGCTTTATGTGTCTAAAGTCTTAACTCACTTTTCATGTATAATGAAAAATAAAATGTAAATGTGATTAGTATTAAGCACTTGGTAGTAATTTATGTATTTCTTATGTATATTTTATTCATACTTAGAATTCAAACATATTTGAATTTTATGTTATTACTTTTATTGTAAGTATTTTTGATTATGAAATTTGCCTATACTTGATATTTATTTCCAAGTTCTTTTAGGAATTAAGTTATAAAAATGAAGGAACCATTGTTATGATTTAATCACTAAATTAACAGCTACCTATATCAAGCTGTATATAACCTTGTTCATGATATATAAATAGGTAGGTAGGTAACTATATTTTCACAGCTGTGACCTTGTATGAATGCATAATATATATTATAATAATTTTATGCTGATATTTTATAGATTAAAAATCATGTATCACTTTTAAATATTTACTTTCATAAATTTAAAAAAATTTGTCTGTAAACTTAAAAAAAAAAAATCAAAATTTATAAAATAAAGAAATAACTTTAAGTAAGTAGAAACTTTTTTATCAATATTAAATAGGTAGGTATCTAACCTAGATAGTTTTATTACTTTTATAATACTAATTATATTGTAATTATTAGTTTCAATTAAGTTCTTAAGCCATTAATATTATACATAGGTACCTAGTCTAAATGATATAGAATAAAAACTAAACAAGTTTTAATCACATTTTTTTCTTTGTATAAATCTAAAAACTATGTTCATAATAAACTAGAATAATGGATATATTTTGGAGGGAGTGAATAGGTTGGCTAGTTGACTGAAACTATTTATCGATATTAAACTATAATTTGAGAAATTACCTAATTAGAAAATCATAGAAAAATATTGACTATGGAATTAATATAAGCTGAGTTTAGAGAAAGTGAGTATTATTTATATATAAATATTATAAGTAATAAAATATAGCAAGTTTTTCGGCATGTAAATGTTAGATTTATTATATAATAGATAAAATATTAGATACATATATATATATATATATACACAATATAGTGTTTAATTTAAAGTAAGTTAAATACTTAAGATATTGCAAATATGATAAATTGTATCATATTTTTATAGTTTTTAATATATATATATATATAGATAATTATAAAAACTACCATTGATGATTAATATTTTATAAAAATGTAAAACTGAAATATATGCTATTATGTACAGTGTTTCAAGGATTGCATTTATTAACTCTAATTTTAAAGGTTTCTATAAAATTAAATATTTGAATGAAAGAAAAAATGGTTTTATAGATATGAGTAAAATTCAATAAGAAATTTTGATTTTTCAATGTTGATTGAAGTTTAATACATAATTATTATTATAAACCATAAAAGCTCGCATAAAAGGTACCTAATATGTATTATAAGTTTAGTTTTTTTTTTTTTTTTATCATAAAATTTATAGTAGGTATATCTATAACAATTTGTACTAAGTTTAATTTTGGGTATATACTAATTAATAAAAAATGTATAGGTACAAATAATTACAATGAACAATAAAAATTCTTTTTTTACACAAGTAAACGTGGCCATATTCATTTGAAAAATATACAAATGCATGCAAGTTAATTTTTATTTTATAATAGGTATCTAAATAAATTCCGGATAGGTTGGGTTAGACATTTTTTGAGTACATTTTCTGAATACTTATGATGCTTTATTTTACAGCTATGATATACCTAGTATTATTTGTTGTTCAGTTTTTTTGGTGATCAAATTTAGTTTGAAGTAATTTCAAAACGTTCCAATCCTATTTGTTAATAATTATCTTTTAAGTAACAACATACCAAATTCTATATCTATATATTATCTTTAAATATAAATTAGTTAATATATCTATCCATTATAAATTTAATAACTTAAAAATGTTTATGAAGTTAAGTTTATTTTTAATATTATGTTGAAACCTCATAGGATATATTAATTAAATTAAACTAAATATATTACCTTTTATACTTTTTGTCAAATTAAAATACTCTCAGTAGCAGTGGTTGTGGCTAATCCAAAGTGCCTCATTTTCTGAAGCATTGGTTTACCATATTAACAACTACCTAACTTGTATTTTAGCTAAGATAAACACGGCAATTTTTTGGTCGTGGCTGATCTTCGGAAAAAAAAAAGCTAATAACATAAACTAATTTAATCAATGGTTGTGGTCTAATCAAATCAAATGAAAATCAGTTGCCGTGAGAGGTTATTCTTGTTTGAGACTGAGTATAGGACATAAATCAAGCATGTCCTCAACTCATTTTTTTGTGGCTCCGACTACCAATATTAATGGATAAAAAAAATATAATAATAAAATATTAATGCCGTGTCTTAACTATCTTGGATTCTTAGAGAATGGTTTATTTGGTATACATTAATATACTATCTTATATTTTGATAAGCTAACCTTTTTTTAATTTAGTTGTATTTGCTGTGTTCATAAATGTAAAGAATAAAATTGAAAAATTTGTATAAAAAATTTATTACTTCGTTAAATTTTTAAGTGTGGGCCATAGTAAACTATTCAATATATTTGGCCCACTTGATACTTCGAGTTTGACATACTTGACATAAATAATAATAATAATAATTATATATTAATAGGTTAAAAAAATATATTTATAGCTTTTTATTATTATCTTTTAGTTTTAAACATAAATTTACATTTTAATGAAGTAGGTATTTAAAATTAAATAAATAGAGAAGTCAAATTACTAGGGTAAAATTAATGAGTCTATTAGTCTAAGTCAGTGGCCGCAACTTTTTTGAAGTCTCGGGTCACATTCACAAACGTAAAAAGTTTCGCAGGCCATACAAAAATAAAAATTTCATACCTTTATTATTTACTTATTATGAAGAAAAAAATTCTGATATATTTATTTAATTTGAAATTTTTAAGAATACAATTTTGATATTAAATAAAATAAAATTATGTTTTATAATAGTATGGATATTATAACTGTATGAAAATATATTTAATGCAATTTTTGCTGTTGGATTTTGCTCACGATTTTTTTCAATTATTACATCAAAATAACTTCTGCCAGCTCTATTAAATGATGGGAGGTGGTCACCAATCAATCATGACCGAAGTGGGTTTTTAATTTTTTTCATGTGAGAAAAAGCCTGTCCACATACTTACATTGATTCAAACATGCTTAAGTATTTTGCAACTACCTATCATTTTTATGTTTGTAAATTCTAAAGGGAGTTCAGCTAAAAACAGCGAAGGTGAAAGTTTAAATGAATTTTTAAGAGTATCTTGTGATTGTAAATCTATCATTTCCATTTGAAGATCAATACTAACTTCATTAATATTTATATTAAATGTATTTAAGAGTATTGTTAAATACTATGAAAATTGTTAAAGATCTTGAAAGCGTTTACTAAATTCATGTTGAAGTGAAGAAATACTTTTAACAAACTTAACTGTTAAAAATGAAAATTTCGACGATTCAAACAGACTTATACATACTGGAAAATGTGTTAGTTCATTTATTTCAATATGAGACCGTAAAAGTTTTAACTTAGTTTAAAGCGATTTAATATGAGACCACATATCAGGAATAAGTAGATATTTACCTTGTAGTTTTATGTTAAGTTCATTTATATACTTCTCAGTATATTAACAAAAAATAGCATACACTATACTACACACATAATGTTATATTTTATCATGACTGGTTAAATAAAATGTGCAGTTAAATTATTTTTATTGAATATGTTTGAAATTTTGTTATACGTATAGTTATATAATATGAAATTTAATTTTATCAAACGGGCTATATAAAATAGACGCGCCAGTTGCCGACCTAAGTCATCTTTTTATGAAAATCAATCTTCTTATCTATTAATGTTACAGGATAATTCAAATTGTATAACAAAAATATAGTTTAACCTAATTATGTATGAATCCCAACAGTTTTTAGAATATAATTAAATAATTTTTTACTATTTTTAAATTAATTTACATTAATCAAATAAAATAACTTTTCAATTAAATATTTTTAGTGCTGTTAAATCAACTAAAAATGACCAATTTAACAAAACATTAAGGTTTAATTTAGTTATTAAAAAGAATGTAAAATTGTATAACTACCTACTAAATATTTTGAAATAAATACCATAAATATATGTATATTATATTGATAATTGGTATTTGGTATGACATAAACATGTTGTTCACCTATTAAGAATAGATACCTATATTATACATTGTATACTAATTATAATATTTTATTTAAGATAAATAAGTCTTTAAGGTTAATTAACTTCTCTTTGAACTTGGCTGTTACGTCAATACTATCAAATTATAATCAATCAACTTTTTTTTCACTTCCTAAAGATTTTGCAATATATATGATTTATTTTTAAATTATATCTACCATAATCGTTGGTAATAAGTAATAATGAAAGGTGTTTTGTATAAAAAGTGTACTAATATAAATTGATAAAGCATATGTGTACAAAAACAAATTTGTTATCAAATAAAATACTTCTCTCAATCTGTTGTTATATAGTGGTTAATTTTAAAACCTATATCATGATATTAAATATAAAAATTAGTTATAAAAGATTGAAAATACTTAGTAGTTGTGTCAGATCCATAATGATTTTATGGTTACTCTAAAAATTATGTTTATTCTATATAGATAGACAACATAAATAATGTAAGTATTATATAAAATGTACAAAAGTTAAAAATTGATTATTAGAAAATCAAAAACTTTCCCAAAAAAATCTCTGTGTAGGCTACTTAGTTAATATTTACTAAAAAAAAAAAAAGGTATAGGCTTCTCTGATTTATATTGAAGTTATTGAACTATTTTATTACAATGAGGAATCGTTATAGAAAAAAAAAAAATTAATATGCCACTGATGTTATCAATTTCTATACCTACATATAAAAAGGTTTAAAATATATTAATATGAATTTAAATGTTTCAGATCATTGCAAAATGCAGGAAAAGCAGACACAACTAATAATTTTAAGACAAAGACAATTTAAATGTTCAAAATTATTAATAGTGTGTCTATGTGTTAATTTTATATTTAATTGGTGTTAAATAAGTGATTATAGTTCAATTTAAAGTTTTTTTTCTATCATTACTTAAGAATAAAAAATCACAATGGTGGATACACGAACATTAACTGAATCAGCTGAAAAAGAAAAGCAAGAAATGGAACAGCTAACTAAACTTATGACTATGAAATCAGCTCAAATAATTGTTCAATCAAGAATGGGTGAAAAATTACATACTTATTGTACAAATCAGAATAGTTCGGTTAGTATTATTAAAAATCATTTAATATAAAATAAATTTAATTAATGTGAGATAAATATTTTTATTAAAACTTCAAAAAATTTAGTTAATTAAGTAAACATTTTTTGAATAGAATAAACCTAGAAATTAATAAAAATGTAGTCATTTGTTATCTAATATCTAATAGGTAACTTTTTTTCAAGTAAGTATGTATTTTAATTAAGTTATGAGTTAAAATACTAAAATGTGTCCATATAGTTGAAGGTAAATTCACTAAGGTATCCTGAAGAACTTTTTTTAACTTTATTCTTATACAAACAATTTTTAATATTTAATTTACAATAAGCATGTATGAGGTTATATTTATTTTTGACATAAGACGCGTATGAAAATAATTCACCCAATATCAACACTTAATCCAAAAAGCTTAACAAAATATATGCAATAATTTAATAATTATAATTCTTTTATGTTTTAGGTAAAATCATATCTTTATCTTATCCTAGTGATAACAAAAAATTATATTTGATAGATTATTTTATTGTGAAACTAATTCTTCTCAAATTATATCTGTTAATATATGTTTAGGTATAACATTATATTTGATATATTCTTTTAGACAGGAAAAGTTTAGAATTTAATTATCTATAAAATATGTATTTTTTATCAAATAGTTTTAAATAAAAACTTAAGTCATACATAATAAAATCCATTGGGCTTTTTAACTAATTCTTATCAATTATTATAAAAAATATTTTTAAAATCAGTTTATTCATTATGCTTAATATATGAAAATAGGGATCTTACATTGTAATTCCCTTCATAATATAATATACATTTAATTATTTTATTAAGCATTAAAACACTGTTACTTTAATATATTATAATATGAAAGGTTACTAAAATTTAAAAATATATAAAAAAAATAGAGTTAACAATTTAAAATGGTTAGATAATAAACAATAACAACTGATTAGATAATGTTCTGTATTTAAATGTAATTAGTTAACGCATAAATCATGTATGACTAATTAACATGGATAGCCTATTATTTGTTGTTCTTTTAATTTAAGCTGTTGATTAACTTTTTTCTTTAATTACTTAAAAAATAATATTCATTAAAATTGTTTTTTCTTATCATAATAAAATGTTAAATTTAATCAAACACTTTGAAAATATGCAAAATAATATCTAAAAATATTAACTATTGGTGAATAAAGGTCAGTAATAAATTAAATATAATTACCTTTAATAGAATTTTTTCACTTTTTAAGTTAGGTCTGGTTATTTTGAAGTGCATAAAAATAAAGTTAGTGTACCTATATTTATTAAAACTAAAATCTGATACAATTTTTTCTATAAATGATAAATTAAAAAAAAAAAAAAAAAATGAAATAATTATTATTATATTAAATTATTATAAGTCTTAGAAGTCAATATTGCTAAAATAGAAAATTATTTTACTTACTGAACACAAATACTAATCTTTAAAATATTTATATTGAACTATAATATAAATAGCCAAGCAATAGTACTAGTTGAATTACTACATGAGTTTATTTAACACTATTTACTTAATATCTAATAACTGCTGGTCTTTATGCGTAAAAAATTTACAATCTAGTTGAATTCAATAATTAATTAAAAAAATTAAACATAGTATGATATAACGAACATTTGACAACCATTCTTGAAAACTCGTACCAAATTAATAAGCTCATTTTGATTAAAAGACAATTTAAATCACTGATTTAATATATAATCATTATGTCTATTTTATTCACTCAAGTTATTTTAAAATAAATGAGTAGTTCCCTAATTTAAATTAATATCCCTTATATAATAAATAATAATATTACAAGGTGGCTGGGTTATTATCTATTACAGTAAATTGTTATACTGTTCTACTAACCTACTTGCACTATCTGTATAACTATTTTCTACAACTACAATTAACTATTATATGAATGTATGATACTAGTACTGTGTAGTCTATTTTATATAACATACCCATTTTTTAAGCATTGTAATATGTTTAAAACATTTTCTACACTTATATTAGAATAATTTAAACACACTTTTAGTTTTTATTTAATAATTTAAGTATTTTATTTTAGATTAAAATAATCTTAATTATTTAATCCTCTTGTTAGCATTATATTTACTAAAATTATTAATTATCTTGATTATTATAAGTTATAGTTATCTGACCATAAAATCATTAAATAAATAATCATTTTATAAGCATTTGAGAATTACAATTACCTACTTAATTTGTATATTTGCCTAGATGACTAGTATAATAAGGCAAGTATTTTTTAGTTTAATATACTAAAAATTAAAATCAATAAATTAAAAACAAGTAAAAGGTAGTTAACAGAATATTTAAGCATTTAAGTCTTGACACTTAAGAACTGCTGATAAACTGAGTAAATATTATAATTATGTTTTAAGAGTAGTCGTGAATGGTAAAAAAAATAAATTACATGTACCCATTTGAAGTTTTTTTTTTAAAACTATTTTAAAAACAAAAAAACTACTGAATTAATCTGCGTCTATATAATTTATATATAAAAACATGCAGAGCTGTTTTCCAAAATTTAATTATTGCTATGAAATTATTAACTTAATTTTGGAATATTTCACTTAATAATTTCTTAAATATTATTTGATATAATATATTATATTAAACATTATATTTCTGTATCCAATTATTATAGCAATGATTGTATACATAGAAAACATTTAAAAAAATATAATTCACTTAAGCAACTTATAATAAATAATAACTTGTGTTATGTTAAATTCTTTTTTTAATACATTTACTCTACATTATACTTAAAATTATTGTATCATAATATACTACATAATATTATATTTTTATTTTAATCAAAAATTAAAAAAAAAAAAATCTAGTAGTTCTTTTGAATATTAATTAAGTATCTTCATATTAATTTAAGTAATATTATATTATTTATTTATTAAAAAATGTGTGATATAAACTGGAACTTGATTTCTTTTGCTTTTTAGTGTTTTAATGTACATAATTTTATCTAGTTGATTAAATCCTGTTGAGCAAGATAAAAGCCTTGAAAACAAGTTCACTATTGTATGGAATGTACTTTGTTATAATTATATTATTATTATTAAAAAAAAAAAAAATTGTTTATATAAAATTTTATATTGACATTATAAGATAGAAAACGTAGCAATTATATTTAAATTGGATAACCAGAATATTATCATAGTAGTTTTTATTAACAAATAAAATGTTTAAAATCTAAAGATAATAATTATTAAAAATTTTAGAGAACTGATTAAAAGTATGTAAATATTAAATTTAATAGATCCTTTGTATTTCTTTAATAATAACAACAGCTTTTGAAATGTTACTTTAATAAAAAATTAAAATGTATTAAAATGTCCATAAAAAATTAAATTTTAATATTTTGACTGATTTTTATTTAGTATGAGAAGTTATGATTATCATAATGAGTTATTAAAGTTCAAATGATTTGTTTCCATAAATAAGATAGCAATCTTGAAGTATAGTTTCCCTGCAATTATTTAAAACTGAAATAGCACTGCATTGTGATGCCGCGTTTAGATGTCTATTATGTTTGGATTGTTAATTGATGCTTTATGCTACAGAGAAATCATAATATCTTTATAAAAAAAATTCACTAACTAAAAACAAATTATTTATCTATTCTTCATTTATGTATATATATTTTGAGTAAAATGTCTTCAATTTTTAAAATTTAAAACTAATTAAAATATTCTGAAAGTTATAACAAATTGGTAATGTATGCCAAAGTTAATAATTAGTAACCAGATTAATAAGTATATTACAAAACCATATAAATATTTTAGAAATGCTAAGTATTAATTTGTTAGTACTAATAATTATTTTTAAATGTTCTGTTTCAGATGAATGTTGCAATAAAAGAAATCCCAGACGTAATCACCGAAACAAAACTAGCGTTAAGCAATGGACTTGAAGACTCTGTTCCTTTATGTGTTGAAATATTTTTGAAAACTGTTGATGGAGATATGATGACATTAGAAACATGGAGTATTGGTTTAATAGCTGAAAGTGCCTTTGATCCCTTTTGTTCTCGACACTTAGTTTATACTCTATATAACAGATTAGGAATTTTATTAAAATCATTAGTGTCAGTTTCTCGAGTAATACCAGCATATCGATACTCTAGGCAACAATCAAATGATTCTTTTCAAATTCATCATCGGATTTATGCTGGAGAACCTCAAGTTCATACTCTTGGTAAGTAAACTAAGATCTTGTATATCCTAGCTGGTGCAGAATTATTTTATTGTGTACATTTTATTTAGATTCACAATCTTTGTATCTTAAACACTTTTATTTCATAATTTTCACAGCTATTTATTTATTTTAATTATATTATGATGATATTCTATATAAAATTCTTAAAAAAAAAAAAAATTAAAATTAACTTATAAGTTAATATTTATTGTTTAGATATACATAATATAATGTTTTTATTTTTATAATTTGTTTGGACACTTAAAAATTTTTTTTATTTATTTATATTATTCATAATTGTTATTTAATTTTATACATTAATAGTTCATAATTAAGTTCTTAATATGTTAAATTCCTTAGAGGCCCTTTTATTGATAGTTTGGAGTCTAATAGTTAGGTAGTAGAACCTTTTGACTTATAAACTTAATAATTTGGTGATTTGGATTTGAATCTCAATTTGACAATAAATATATATTTATAAAAAAAAAAAAATTTAAAGTTTAGTGAATTAAATGTATTAAATCATTATTTATTAGATTATATGAAGAAAAATAATATTATTTATAATGAATGTAAATGTGTAATTAGTAATAATTAATATATAATTTATCATAGATTGTTAGCAATATTTGTGAAAAAAAGAACGGTTGTGACCAAGTATAATAATGATAATTCTTATTAAAAGTTCTATAAGACAAACTTAATGGATTTATGTCAAAACATATCAAATTAAATAAATAACACTCATAATATATTTTTGTTTGATAATTAATGATTTCATTAATTATTTTAAATTTTAATAACTTAAAAAAGTTAACACAATAAAGTACTCCAGTACAGGTGTAAACTAGAGTCCATGTGTGTGTTTATTCAGCTCATTTCTAAATTTACATAATTAATGTTTTATTATTATACATTTATAATTTTTAATTAATTCAAAATTTCGATTCTGGATAGATCTTCATTTATAATCGTGTACAGTGTTTGGTTTTTTTGATTACCTTGAAAAATGTTAATTTTTAATTTTTGTACAAATGTATAGTAGTATTATACACTGAGGGTCAAGAATAATTCTTAATTCTTTGGCTTTTTAAGATGGGTCAATGTCATTTTTAAGTAAAAATTTTAAGAAATGTTTTATTGATTTTTCATTTGTTTTGGTCAATGTTTTAACATTAGCCATTTTGAGAACATCATAATATTTATTTTCTCAACAATTTTTTTGTTCTTTCATGCATTACATTACGGATTTTAACACATAGCTATATATTATAATTATTATTTAGTAACATGTGTAATGCTAGAATAAAGTTTTAAACAATTTTTGTAACTCAGTGCTAGTAAAATTAATTAATTTATTAGGATTTATAATCATAAGTAACTTTTGTCTTCAAATTTAGTTTTTATTTAATTTATTTTTTATTGTTAAAAACAGTTTAATTGAGTAATTGTCTACTTAATTTCCAATTTTCTTCCTATCATATATACGTACCTACTAAAAGTTTAACCAAAACAAACATGTAGATAATTACCTAATAAATTTCATTAGCGTTACAATTTATTATAGGTAGTAATTTTAATTTTGGTACAATAGCGACTTGGGGGCGGGAGATCAATCCTTTCAATTATTATTGCATCTATATTATATTTGTATATTATGATTTAATTAGATATGACTAAAACTGAAATATTTCATGACAGTTTCATTCAATAATGTATACATATATTAAAAAATAATAATTAAGTATGTTGTTAGACACTTATGATTGGTACAAGTTATTGTTCTTCAAATATGGTAATGTTGTCTTGATTTGAAAAGCTTGGAAAGAGTAAAAATTAGTATAAAGTAAAAAACTTTATATTGTTTAGAAGTTAATTTTCGAAAATGTTGAAGTTTCAACATTAGAATTCGAACGAGTAATTTTTTGTTATTTAAAACGGAAAAAGTAGGACAGTATACAGATAATATACTTGAATGGGGATTAACCTTGGGGAGGGGATACCTTAAAAATCAGTTCATTTTCTGTCGATACGTAATAGCAATTACCATTTCCGTCAAGTTGTTCACAAAATAATAAAAAATTGTCGACACAGCCTTATATTGGGAAACTTAAAATATATAGCCTATTTATAACATTACCATAATGAATTTTTTATTTTTAGTATTATTTTCTTTATATTTTATATTTTGATTGTATGATTATCAATAAGATGCTTAATAATTATGACATGAATAAAAAAACAAGGTTTTTCCCGTTTTTTTTTTACATTTGAAATATTAATAAGAGTAACTATTAAGCTATACTGGCACTTATTATAGTTTCAAAGAACACATTCCGCTTAAATATTATGAATTATGACTAATAGTACAGTTTGTTTGTGAACCATGAACGTGATAATAATATTATAGTGATGAAAACTGGTATGGCAATATTAGTGATTCCTGTTATGCGTTTAAACATTCAAATGAAAACTACCATGAATATTATTGACAATAATATATTATTATTTATTGCTTTATTAGGCACTATATTGTATATTTATATGACACGTTCTGTTATTAAAAATATATTATATGATAACATTTTATCCCGTCTTTAAATCATTTTAAACCAAATTTAATGTATGGATATTTTTTGTGGGTAAGTCATTTGCTCTAAATTGGTTTCTTAGAGTGATCGGATGTGTGACAATTTTAAGCAATTATTTATTGTATATTATAATTAGTAGCAGAGTTAACTATTTTGTTTATGTTGTTTTATGTACACCGCAGTGTTATTTTACATTCTAAAACTATCCGTCTTTGTTATAATAAATTATAACATTTTTCTAGTTTAAACTACCGTCTCTCATTTATCAGAATCACAGATTATACAACGTTTAGTCAAATATGTTAATAATGGAAAATAATTTGAAACTGAATCACCTTCTGCGTAGCATCTAGACTTTAGACGTAGTTAATTATTGACAATTATTGAATGGTTTATGAACGATATTTAAAAATATCTGTGATAATCTAAATTTTTAATAAAATTATTTTTCAATTATGTTGAATATTTTGTTTACGTTGAATTTTTTCAAAATAATAACAAATTCTTTAAACACCAACGAATGTCAGATATATATTAGTTAAGATACAACACGGTTACTACGTAGTTAAGTAATATAAAAAAGTATTTTGCCGAGTAAAAAAGTATTCTGTATAAACATTTTCCTGGTACAGTCACACAATGTATATATATTTACATATATAATCTTAATCAAATGAATAACGATTAGTTTTAAAATTATAATCTAAAGTTTAAATGTATAATTTGCTTAAATATTTTTGAATAGTCGTTTTAGATCTGTAAATGAATAAATTAAAAATAAAACAGTTCACGCGATACTTAAATAAATGTTTCTAAAATAAACTAGGTATAACAAAACTATTAAATAAAAACGGAATACTTAACGATGCGAAACGTATTTCAACAACTTACATCACATATTTTTTCTTCGCTGCAAATTTAAAGTATTTATTAGATGAATCGCAAAACGTTTTTATCTTACTAAAAACTATATAAATGTTTCAAATTGTTTGATGTATAAATGTATAATTTTAACATTGTTTAAGTTTAAAAACAACTAAACCTTACTTAATTTATAAGATAAAATAAATATTTTGTGAAAAAATAGTTATGTCAAGTATTTAATAAATATTAAATAGTATGTATTTTATTAATGTACCTACTAATAAAAATAAAAAAGTACAATTTTATGCCATTTCAGTTAAACTTAACTGATTTTTTTTACACCTCTATACATTTTTGTGTGATGGTATCATCTAAACCATACAGTTACTGATGATCATGATTTAGTAAAAGAACTTCGAACTGATGTTTCTTATTTAAACTTTGTACCTTATAACATGAAATTATAATATTGTACCTATTATATATTATGATTTAATTCTAATTCTAACTTAACGAAAAACGCGTGGAAAATAATTCGTATTCAAATCGTATCAAATGTTACGATGACACATTTTCACTTTCACTTGAATTTTATAGCGTCCTAGATGATCAGATGCTTCTTTCTAGTTTCTACCCTACCTAACTTAAAACATGATTACTATGTATAATATGTACAAAATACATCGGTTACTATCTTTTTTAATCTTATAATTTGTTAGTTAAATCAAATTTATTCCAGATTTCCTTCACAAGAATTCAATATCAAATTGCATAGATAAATATAATTAAAATACAAGTCAATGCTATAATAAATATATATTTATTTGAGAGTCATTTTAGAATGTACACAAGCATGAACTTTAGTCGAAATAAATAATACACTTAATGTGATGAGATATTGTACTTGCATGCGATAAAGTTCTAAATCCAATAGCCATTTAATTGAATTTCTGTTGCAAATAATTTACAGACGCCGTGTTTTAAGTAACATTTATTATGACATGTTGTTTTTTTTCTATTAATCTGTTATGAACCTTTCTCAATTAATTTATGCAAACGCTATAATAAATTTAATCGTATATATTTCTAAAATAGTTTTGAAATTTCTTTAAAACATGATCAACACGTTATACAATTTGTGTTATTCACAACTCTCTAGAATATTTATATTTTTTTAAATTTTACTTAAAATTTAACCACACCCGATGTATCTCAATTTTTTTCTTAAAGTTTTAAAGAAAATGTAAATCCTCATATTTTCCTATTAGTAACACTTATGTAATATATACACCAATCTGTGTGTGGCGTATTGACGTAATGTGGTTTATGACTTTATGAGTTATTTAATTTGAATTTAGAATAATTTTTAACAAACAAATAACAATATCACTTAATTTTTCAAGATCACTAAAATAATCAATAAATACTTCGGATACTTTCCAATAACAATACTTCACCACTAATTATTCGAGTATACGATAACTTATTGTTAATGTACGGGTTCTATAATTTTTCTGATAACGTAAGTTTTATTTCTGGTAAAAAAATCCTCAAAAAAAAATTGTATTTTGGTTGCTTTTTGATTTGAAAAAAAATTTTTAACGGAAAAAATTTACATAACAAAAATATTGTAGCATGTTTAATATATCTATAGTTTTTCCTAGTGATATGCATGCATAATAATTATGTATGCATTACAAAACAAGGAATAAGTTATATGTTTTTTTTGTCTATGACATGATTCTTACAAGAGTCTTGTGAATTTTAAATGATATAAATAACATGTTCTCGATAAGAATTTGCTGTGTTGCATATTAGTACTATTACGCTAATATTATAATTTATAACCAAAGACTACATGATTATAATGTTTAATGTTTTATAGTATCTATTAAAATATTAAATTTTAATAAAAATAAATATAGGTTCTGATTTAATGTTTTAGGGGTTTATCATATCTTACTAAGAATATCAGTATTAGTCAAGAAAATTGGCATCAAGATCTTATTTACCACAGTGTAGTATTGTGATCTATACTTAGTTTTATTGCTAGTTATTTATTCCGTGTATTTTAATATATGAATAATTTTTATGAATATAAAAAATGAAAAATGAGCTTTATTATTTTACTGTTTGGAATAAATATTAGTTCGTGTAATTTAATAATTATATTATACTTTATATATATATAAGTCGACAATGTCATGACCCGGAGTACATTCAAATTGTTGCCAATAAATTTGTTTTCATAGATTTTAGAGGTCGTGTTACACAATAGTACTAACAACTAAAGATTGTCTAGTCTCCATACTCATTTCTTGACTATTATTCGATTTTAACTCATAAGTAGTTTATGTATATGCGTGTCGTATGAATAATTGCTTTCATTTTTACGTTTCAAGACAATAATATAGGTATATAACAAAAAGTTACTTATTTCTATGATTATTATAATACTATATTTTGTACAAAAATATCACAAAAGAAAATTAGGGCTGCCAAAAAAATCATATGTACTAGCTACTAGGTATGATAAATATCAATTTATGTTGATTTGTTTTAACCGTGTTACAGGAAAAGAATATAAAGAATTACAAATTGGCCAAGTGTCAATGCCTATCGGGACCATTCAAGTGACAGTTTGTTATCGTACCTCTATGACATTAACGTCTCAACAAGATCCAATTATGTTAAAAAGTGATCATTTTCGAAAAGAGTATAGCCCACGACACAATCAGATTATCAAAACTCCGATGTATGTTTTTTCTTTATTGTTTTTTTATTCTCATTTCTTCAGTGGTTTCCAGGATAAAATATTATTTTGAACACATGTAATGAATCATTTTTGTAGCTGATGAAATTCAAAAAAAATTCTAGTAATCATTGTTTAAACATATCCTATTCTGGAGTCCGCTTAATATTTTCACTATTGTTTGTTATTTTAATATAATTAAATGTTAAATTATTTTTATATTTAGTGATCAGTCTAGAACAACATATATCATGGATCATTGGACTGTGGGTGCTTTTTCTGATAGTCTTGAAGAAAAAGTTAAAAAACTTAACCTATATCGTATTCCTGAGTTTCCAAAAGATACATTCATAAAACCCAGGAAACGAGCTGAACATTGGCTACCACACACTGTATCTAGTAATCAATTGCAAAAAGTCCAAGAATCGACTAATGAAAACAATAATTCAATAACATCTTCTATCCAAAATAACAAGACTTCTGTAGTAAGCAATGCTGTAGTGACGAGTACTGGAATTGTTAATAATGTCAATTCAACTGAAACCAAAAATAAACTCAACCACTCAATGAATACATCCAGCAATGAGGCCATCAATGATTTTATTTTGGTAGAATTGGTAATTTAATTAATGACTAACTTTACTTTAGTATTTTTTTTTTATTAACATTGGGAAGTTAAATAATGTATTTGATTTTTACTGGTGTTTGTTTATTTGTCTCTTATACTTTAATGGAATAATAATACATTTTTTGTTATCTATTTTTTTATTGCTAATATTTGTTTAATAATTTTAGGGCCAGTCTGTAAAACCTCAATCGCCTGAAGATTTTTGTCGAAGACGTAGTTATGACAACAATCCTTTACAATTTAAGCCTGCTGCATTTTCCGATTCAAATCCTAATATTGAATTGGCACTCTTCTATCAAAAGTTTCTTGGTGCTCCATCATTAAAAGTTCGTCCTGATCATTTGAATGTCTACAACCACCTGTCTGAAATTGTTGAACAAATTAAATGTTTTGATGAACGTATGGAAGAATTCGACAGGGTAGTATTAGACTTATGCCACAAAGATGATGACAGTGAATAAAATAATTGAAAAACATACCCTCCGTAATGTTTGTAACAAGACTGACTGTCAAAACGAGTAAGAAGCTCAAAATTAATATGTACTTTATATGCATATACATATATATTTATAATGTATGTACGAGTATGTACTATTTTTTTAAAAATATTTTATAAAACAAAGTTATAGCAAAGTTATAAATAATTCCAAAACATTACTGTTTTGTTTGTTTTCTAAGCAAATGACTGATCAATGATTGATGAATTAATAAATTATTTATTATCCTCGCGTAGGGTATGGTGGTCACTAAAAATCACTTAGGCCTGAAAGTTCCTCCTTTTTGTTAAACATAAAAATAATAAAATTATGCATTTATGTTTAATGAGGTTTAGTTTTAATTTTTATTTATTTTGTTTGTTTATTTCATAATGTTACCTTAAATAATAATAATAATAATTTAACTTTTTTTTGTCTTTTTTTGTCTTTTTCTTTTTCTTTTTTTTTTTTAATAGGCAACTTTTATACATTTTATAACAAAAAATACTCAATAATATTATTTCTATTTGTTTCCCATGAAATTTAATTTGGTTTTTATTTTATTTTAATTAATGCAGGGTCAAGATTAAAAATTAATTATTCACTACTTATATGTATTCAGTTGTCATAAATTTCTTATCTAAGTAATTTAACCATTGATTATCAACTGTAATACTTCAATAATACAAACATCTAAATTATTAAACAACAGAATACTTAACTTATAGACCATAAACTACATGTAGATACTGGGCCATTCTTTAATCTAAAATTTATTACTTCAAAATCTATTAACGTTTTTTTTAAAATAATTTTTTGTTTCATTCTAGTCGAAATAAAACAGTTTTTACTTTTATGAATGGCAACATACATTTTTAATTTTTTTTTTTTGTTTCATATTTTAAAGCAAAATATTATTAGAAGTATTTCGATATTTATAAATTGAAATTTGTACAAATACTTTAAAAGTTATAAGTATATAATAAAGTTAGGTGAGCGTAATAATAGATTAAAATTTTGTGGTATATTCTTGTACCATTCCACTCACCTACATTTTAAATACTTATAACTTCTAGACTACTTGTTTTAATTCTGATTTTTATGTATCGAAATGCTCTGCATAATATTCTGTTTCAAAATATGAAATAAAAAATGTATGTTGGCATTAAAAAAAAAAAATAACAATTTTTAATATTATATTTTTTTAATAAAAAACATTGTTTTATTTTGACTGAAAAGTAAGTAAAAAACACATTTATAAAATATTAATAGATTTTAAAATAATAAATGTTCAATGACAGAATAACATTGTTTATTTATATTAGTTGCCTGTTTCTTATTGTTTTTGTTAATTTTAGTCTTTTTTTTATTTTATTTTTTTTTATGTTTTATTTATAATTATAGTCAATTGTTACTGAATATTCTGAATATTGTTAACCAATAACACATTATGAATGTTTACATTTATTTGTGTCTTTAGACTCAACGGTTTTTTTAATCAATGTATTAGACCAATATTTACAAAATGTAACATTCATCAAACATTTTTATCTTTGATTCAGTTATTTTTTTCTAATCACAGTATACCAGATTTTTTAAAATAATCATTGATTTGTTATAAAAATTATACTAAATTTTTGTTTTTTATAAAATTCAAATGTTATACATATTACAGTTAAAGTGTTAAACACATTTTGGATTTATGTTCACGTGTTAAAATTATAGCTGCCACAATGGTGTGGTAGTATATAATAAATAAATAAAACAACATTAATAATAAATTTGTAATTTTGTCTATTCCTTATTTCTTTCTTCCTCATTTATTTCAGTATAATTATATAATACTTCATAAACTAATACATTGTTAAGCTTTTATCTTAAAATATTTATTATTTCCCCCATAGAATTATGTTCCATATTTTAATATAAAAAATATGTTTAGTTGAAATATTATTACTGAGATATATTTGTGTACTGAATATTCACTAAGTAGTCATACTTTGTTCATAGATATAATTATTCAATTAATTGTAAGTTTCTATTTGTCTATAAGATAAATTATTATTTCATTAACAAACAATAAAAATTTCACTTATATTTTAAAAATAAATATATTTTTACTATGTTTTAATATATTATGTTGATAATGGCGATAAAATAATTTATATTAAGGTTAACCACACATATATTAAATTAAAAATAGTTTAGTAACAACATGGATAGGAATATTTTTTCACTACATTGGTAGGTGCTAATGCAATTCTGACTTGTGTTCATTATTTAAAAAAAAAATAAGTTTATAAAACATTAATTTGTTTGCATATGCAAAGACTATATCCATAGTATAATTAATGTATAGAATAGTTATTTTGTGCTAGTATTCAAGTAATCAACTAAAGAAAGAGGGAGTAGTTCTATGAAAATTATTTCTATAAATATTTTAATTTCAGGTTACATCATTGGAAGCACAGTACATAATAATATAATACTAGGTAACTGATAATTAATTATCATTTCTTTAGTACTAATAAAGAAGAAAATAAAATTGCAACAAGGTAATTAAAAAAAAAACATAGTAATAAAAAAAAAACATAGTAATAAAAAAAAAACATAGTAATACAATTATTAAAAAATGCCTATTTAGTACTTACTTGTGTATTATTTAGGCATAATGAGTGTTATATTATTAATTTAGTGTTAGCTTAAGGGCTTATCCACAGTGCCAGTGCGTCTTTTTTTAAACTTTTTATTACTAATAAGTACAAAAAAAAAAAAATTATAATTATAATTTTGCCAAAATAGTTGATGCTACAATGAATAAACTAATTGAAAAACAAAAATTGATTTTGCTTGTTTTCTAATTGGTAACTATACGTTTATACTCTGAAATCTGAAAGACTTGATAAATAATATTGATTCAATAGACTCAATAGAATATAAAGACATAAGGTGTCAATAAAAAATACAATTATAATATAGCATATCTAATAAAAATCATACTAAATTTAATATTAGATGTTTTTTCTTTCAACTAACTTTTAAATTCCCTCTTCAACAATAATTTAAAGTCGAATGTGTTAGTCATCTTTTTTAACTTGTTAAAGTTAAGTCAGTAGTGGTTTTTAATAGATTATATTTAATTTATTTCGTACATTTTTTTTAAAAAAATACCTCGGTATGTTACACAAACATCTGACCTATCGCTCGCACCAAAAATAAATTAAAAATGGTAAATAACTAAATGTCTTTAGCTCCCTCTTAAAATTTAAACTTAATCTGAAGTTTAAATGACTTATATACAATACCATTATTAGATACCCCGAGCTTCTGGTTCTAAGTAATAAACGTCTGGGGCTAGCTAAACCTTCTTATAATTGTTTTCAAGTATAATTCTACGTATAATTAATGGTGCTCTCTGGTATATAATTGATCAAGCTTTACATAAAGATTTAAAAATTAATACTGTAACCAAACTTGCTAAGATTTATTAAAACAAATTTCAAACAAAACAACTCAAATATTAACCCCTCTAATTTATATTTTATTTGTAACTTCATTTTTTTATGAACCTTCATGTCTACACAGACTTGTAAGAAACTAGAATCAATACTTTTTAATACATAATAATAATAATAATAATAATATATGATATATTATAAGTTCATATAACTAATTGGTTACTTGCCCTATTACATGATCTACACTATGTTGTAGTAAATAATTTTTTATCTCAGTGACTTGATAAGAAAATTGTACAAATTGTTTCTATTCAAATATTGTATAATATCAGACTCTTACTAGCATAATGAGATTATAGACATAGGTTTTTGAATACCTAATAAAATATCATAAAACAAATTTATTGATAAAAATAATAAACAAATTTATTTAATTACAGTAAAGCTTCAAATAAATAAGAACTAAGAAGTAAAAAGGTAGCAAATAATCTAGTACATAAAATATATATAAACTTAAAATAATTCTTATTTCTTAATACCTATGTATAATTATGAATAATATAATTAAAATTATTTATTATGTACATTATTTTACATAAATTATGAAATAATAAACAATAAATTAAATTCTACAAATATATATTAATTACAATTTAATTAAAGTAAACAATTTTCAACACTTAGATTTGAGATAGATTTCAAAACCTACCTTCCAAGAATTGTAACAATATATTTTCTTTATACTTGATATTTGCTATACCAGATTCATTATATGGAATATCCCAGGCAGACAAATTGGCATGAAATATTTCCATCGATCTCTGGACATATCTTAATGCTTTGTGAATTAAATTCCTATAAAAAGTGATACTATAGTAAAAATAATTAACATTCAAGAACTGCATTAATTTTTGTGTAAAAGAAACATATATATATATATAATATATATATGTAATATATTACTGGTATAAATTTAAAAATACAAATAATTATGGCTTGATTTATTCATCTAATATTCAAATTCAATACATAAAAAAATGTATTTTAATAATAAACAAAATTAGTTATAATGGAACAATGAATGGAAATATAAAAATATAATATTAATGACACATAATTTTTATAATCAGAATCATCCCAAATTCTTAAATATAAATAAATGGAAATATTAACACGCTACATTAATTACCGGTTATTTCTCATGTCTAAGTTGTTGACCATTATATCTGACATTTTATCCAATTCATAAGCAACTTCTAAACTATTTTTGCCAAAGCGATCTTCTATTGCATTAAAACTTCTATCCAAATACATATAACAATTCTCGAAATCTCCTTTAATTACATAACAAAAAAATTAATGAGGAAAAAAATTTAATTAGGCATCAGTAAAATAAAATGAAAAATAAATATACATGCAAAAAAATAAAAAATAACATTATTAATAAAAACATTTTACTTTTGAAGATCAATAATCATAAAAAACTCATCTTTAAACAATATGATAATAGGTTTGTTGATGTAAAATGTTAGTTGTTATGTTTATAATAAAATAGGTACATTTTAAATAGATGGTTGAAAAGCAATGAATATGTACATAACATTTTTGAATAGTAATCAGAAATGTAGCAACTAAATATTTCTTTAGTACATTTTTGTAATAATCATAATT